GCAAAATATGATTCGCAGATAGAGAACTCTGTTTGTCAAGGAATCCCGAAACAACCAATCAGAAGCCTGCGTTTGTCTACCTAAACAACCAATCAGATGACTGCGCTTGTCTATAATAATGTTGTCTGAAATATGTATAAATACGTGTTGATTTTCATAATAAAACGATCTGTTGCCTGGCCCTTGTCTTCTGTTGTTACATTTGGTGTCGCTGCCTACCGACAAATGAAAAGCCTATACCCTGCAGTTTTTGATGGAGACATATGGATCTTCGGGCAGGACTTCAAGGCTTCTGCGCAGTTGAGTGGCGTTCAAGATCTGTCAGCGATGGAGCTGCTACTTGAGACGCTGCTGGGAGGTCGGGCGAAAGCAGCATATGAAGGTGTGGGCCGAAGTATGGACGAATGTTCGACAGGGTCAGGCAAACAGTTTCCAAAGTGGGAAGGACCATATATGGTCACTTCGAGATGGGGTTACGCAGACACAGTCGCAATGGCGAACAATGAGAGGCGCGTGAACGTCAGCGAGCTCCAGAAATGGATACAGCGAGACAAGCCAACGATGACGCCTGCACCAAGTAGATCAAGCCGACTTCAGTCGCACGTATTTGACGGGGGGACGAGTGTGGTGAGAGCAGGCTGCTAGCCGATTGGTTGGCACTAATCTACGTTAAGGTCTAGGTCACTAATATGGGCCGTGAACAAGGCTGAGTCAACAACCAATCACAGCGAAGTTAACGTGGCAAAATATGATTCGCAGATAGAGAACTCTGTTTGTCAAGGAATCCCGAAACAACCAATCAGAAGCCTGCGTTTGTCTACCTAAACAACCAATCAGATGACTGCGCTTGTCTATAATAATGTTGTCTGAAATATGTATAAATACGTGTTGATTTTCATAATAAAACGATCTGTTGCCTGGCCCTTGTCTTCTGTTGTTACAGGGGGAATGCCTACTACCGCTAAGTTAAATAAAGGTTCTGTAGAACTTGAACGTGAAGTAGAAATAAATGCAGGTGCAGTTGCAGAAGGCATGCGTACTTGTGAGACCGTCAGTGTGATAGATCAGCATGTAGCCCACCTATCATCACACGCTAGTGCTTAACCTGAGCTGATAGTAAAAGACGGCAGTGGTGGTGGTCTTGCACGTAGAGAAAATTCTGAAAGCCGAACAACAACAGCTTCTGATCCACCGCTAAGTTCATCAACTGGTATCAATCAGTCGTCGTTGGTGCTGTCATCCACAATGAAACACAAGCCCATGAACTTAAGTATCTTGTGCAATGACTATGATAGTATTGGTGCGTTTGAAAAGACGAAAGATATTGGTCAGTCTAGTGAGGATAAGCCAAGTGTAAACGAAAGAGTAATTGTTAAATTGACTTGCATGAATAAAGGCATTTCTAGTTTCAAGTTACTACTTGAATGCTATTATCTTTGGTGCAAATTACTGTGTGCCTACGCTTGGTTGACCAGATACGTCGTATGTTTGTTCGTCATCTATATTCTACGATACAATGACATGAGCGTGTTACCGTTCAGATTTGAGGATATAGCTGATAGAGGGAAATCAGCAAATGAACTCTTCGACGATTTTCCAACCTAGAGCGTCAACCTGAGAATGGTTGTAGGCGTACTGGTGTAAGTCCTACAATTTTTCAAAGGGTAGCGCATCAATGAGCAGTCCAATGTGCTTGGTGTGTCATTTTGTACACATGTTCATATTGTATACACTGTATTGGTATCATCTGTCATCTAGCTTTTGGTAATTCTGTTTGGGTCCGGACATTCCACAACTTACAATTCTCAACCTGTGTAGTGTTGTAGGCGTACTGGTGTAAGTCCTGCAATTCTGCAAAGGAATTCCATCAAGACATGATCCGTGAGGTTATTTGTACTGTTTGTGTATACGTGTGGTGTGTCATATCAATTGGCGTATTTTGGATTCATTGTGTTTACTCGTCGTTTTCCTACCTTGTTGTTATTCCATAATGTTTTTTAAAATTTTCGTCGTGATTACTTCTGAAGTCGTTTCTAGTCTTCTACATCCGTGAATGAATTGATTGATGTTAGAGACAGCAGATGGGTCGTATAGGCCGGAGAGGCTATTGCTGAGAATGAAATGCATACGGAGATAATTGTTAGCTGCGGTCCCACACGCCGGGGAGCAAGAGTGTAAACGACTGAGGCTCACATACGTCACCGTTACTAGAACTGAGGCAGAATGAGTGACAAGCGATTGAAGTGGTAATTGGTAGTGAGTAGATACGACGATGTGCGTAGAGTATCGTGAGGTGCTGCCATGGTCACGTTGCATTCTGCAAGAGTCATTCTAGCAAGTGGCGATTGTAATGTGAGATGTCAAGAGGATGCCTTTAACCGGAAGACGCAGGTCGTCATCGATGTGTGAGATTGTGCTGTGGGTATGCTTGTGGTGTGTTGGCTTTTCTGTTTGATTTCTATTTCAGCTCTGTCCGAGTGACCCAGGGTCTCGCAATGGCATCCAAGTCAACGTGTATTGGTCGTGATGGCAAAAAGGAATAGATCCATTTTTGACGGGGAGTGTCAATGTAGTTGAAGATTGAACGATCAATTCATGGTTGTTTGCTCAAAACCAACTTCCCCAATTTTCGCGGAGGCATCAATACGACAGTCATCGTCTCATCGGTCGCTGTTCAGAAAGAAGAGTGAAACATCGTCAGAAGTAATATAACGATTTATTATTGTAATATTTGTTCACAGACCTTAGTTCAGTTATTATTTTTATATGTTGGTGTAACAATAAAGAAATCTCAAGCGGCCAATCGGTGTTTTGGTTTTTTCGTCCGTTATTACTAAGCGTTTCTGAGAATCTTCAAGGGAGCCCGAGCGTAGCACGAACTGGGCATTAATGGTTTACGAGACGTGACTGACATTCATCTGAGTGTATACAATCACTGAGTGGCATCGTTCTGTCAATAAATCTAGCAGTACAAGAAAATAAATATGGTTTTTACAGTTCTTAGGTTTCTGCAGGACAGATAGCTATCCTAGGTTTGGGTTGAAGGCAGTGTGAGGCAGAGAGTTTGGATAAACGTCTTCTTGGCGCAGAGATTGTTCCGAAAATTTTTTAAGGCATCTGTCTCAGCTTTGCTTGGCAATCGACGGTGCACAAATCTGGTGACACTGTGCAGGGCCTGAATTAGACTTCAAATTGAAGTATGCGCTGAAGATGTCACCCAGTAAGGTGATGAAATCTTCGCAAACTAACTATCCAGCTCAGAGATCAAAACCACATCAAAGGGCCTGAATTTTATATCAGCCTTGTGCTCAGTATCCACTAGGTGTGGTATTATTGAACTGCTGAATATTTTTAATGATCCTCCGCCTAACCATGTTGGAAAATGCTGAAGGAGGCGACGGTGGGCTTGTCGAGTCTTTCTACCTGTGTAACTGTTGCCCGGAGGACAGTTGGATTTATAAGCGCATACTGGAGTAGTCAGACTTGGTTGTTCATCCTTCATCTGTGTTGGAGTTATGCAAACGGCAGTAAGTTAAAGGGTGTTTCAACCACTATTTTGGGGTTCCGATGCCAATAATTGGGTAGCTGTGTCCCCTTTGTTTGATAAAGCCATATATATACACATCTTATTTGCAGGCATTCGCCTATGAATGTTCTCATCGTGGAGGCTTTAACAAACAGTTCTGGGTGTCTTTTCTCATATTAGGTTCTTGTTTTCCACATATCTTTGACAAGTGTCTTTCCTGCAGATTGTTCCAGAGTGAGATACCAGAGTGCTGATGAGATTTCGTCCATATACAAGAGGAACCAGCAACGTGAAAGGGGTGTATTGGCCAGTCCATGATTTACTCCAGAAAAGACCCCACTTGATGGCGATATCTTGCATTCTTGTTAGCAGGATATTACTAAATGATAAAGTGTTTTCTTTCTATTTTTCGTATGCAGACACAATATGTAGCTAATATGTTTATAGGATTGAATGTATCAGAACTGATGCGTGGAGGATTGTCTGATAGAGCCCCATAGCGTGTAAAAAGACAAGGAATATATAATATGCCTACTGTGAAGGGTTTCCATCGTTCTTGTTTATAAATAGTCAAGTCGGAATGTATTTTACTTTATATTATATTGATTTTACTCAAATATCTTATCAATCTTTACTCGTGTATATAATGAAGCAAGTGCGTCGGTGGCACAGTGGTTAGGACTCTCGCCGACCATGCACATGGTCCGGGGTTCGAGCCCACCCCGACGCACACCTGATATCTATGGTCGGCCTGCGAATTTCGGGCTACCGATATCCACGCTGAAAATTCCACACTTGTACCAAAAATACGGTGTGGAGTCAAGCTGTAATCAAAAATCAAAGTCAAAATCAAAGAAAGTTGTGTGAGCACCTTAATATGATTGTGAGCAGTAAATTGTTCACGAATCGTCGCCAGTAAGCATTACTGCATAATACTATGTGATTTTATCGAAATAAATATCTTATCCATAATGGAATTATACTCCACCATGGCATCCAAGTCTTATTTTTATATCAAATAATAGTTATGCCGGGCGTTGGTAGAGTATGAAGTCGATAAATTGGGTGAGTGGATCGAGGAAGAAGAGATGGAAACACAGCGGGGACTTAATTTTCGTAATATCGACGCTCTCTGCAGGTATTCATCCTCAGAGAAAAAAGTACAGTAAGCTCAAGTAAACAACAAAAATAAGGTGAGTCAGATCTAAGAATTATGTACACATCTTCCTTAAGATTCGCGCCAAATCATGGCTCTTATGTTTACCGTTCTAACCGAAAATGCATACATTTTCTAATTATGTGGCAAGCATAATAAATTTTTTGAATTAAGTAAGTATTTCGTGTTACCTTTACATTTTTGTTAGACTTGATTAACTGCATCAATTTACGAGAAGTCTGAGTTTTCGTTTCAAATTTGAAACTAACGCTCTTACAATTTGCTCGTTGTAGTTGTTCATAGTATATTACCGCACACATGGCTCAGAAAATCTTGGAACCTTTCAGAAAGCTGCCACATCAGTTTCAGAATCTCGAAATAGTCAAAAGACTGCATGACTATACAACGGGGAAGCATACCGATGGATTCTCCTGCCACCAGGTACATAATATTTTATGCCTTAATCGGCACAGACGTCTGCTTACGGATCTTTAGAGTCACCTAGTGCCCTGGCATTTGATGATATTTTGGGTTTGTTAGCAGTTGGAACTAGCAAAGGAGTTTTAAAGATGTAAGTTCTAACTTATTGGTAATACAACTTTGCAGTTATGGCGCACCGGGTATTGTTTTCACTGTTCAACGGGATGGTTCCGCCATTAATTCTCTTTTATTTTTGCCAGGCGAGGTGAGTCAGTCTACTAAGTTGTCATTTCTCTATAGGGTCGTATCGTCTCCGCAACGTCTGAGGGGATATTGAACCTTTATGAACTAGACTCAAAACATGGACGATGGACACTAAGTTGTCATGTTGAAATTCAGCAAAGGTGAGTGTCAGAAAAGTATTTTCATGGGTTGATTCATATGTAGTGCAATCTGGCTAAAATTATGCTCGTGCTTGACTGATATTAAGACTCTTGTTATCCTAATAAGATATTTTTGAGATAATTTTCCAATGTGTCGCTGTGAAATTGATGTAAATCCATTGTCAACTGTGGATACTTTGTCAATCAATACCTATCTCACTAGGATTCATATTTGTTTTACAAGTGGTTATTTATTTTCAGGGTATGAACTATTCCTCGTGGTCTCATGTTTATTTTTACGACACTCAGCATCATCTGTCATTGTTCTAAAAGTATCTTTTTTGATTACTGGTGGCTATTCTGCTCGTGTGATATTCTTGTCACACGCTAAGTTTTGTTACTTCAAGATTCAAGGATGTAGGTTATTCCTCTGAATTGTAATTTCAGTCACCAATGGACTGTGTGGAATACCATGAACTCTGGAACATTGAATTGAGGATTTCTTTAGTTCGCTAACAGCAAATAAGTTTCATCTTCCATTTCGAACTCTACAGAAAGGCTGAGAAGATTAAATAGCTGTGTAAAGATGTAGTATTACATCAATGAAGTATTTCCCGTAGTTTTCATTATGTGAGTTATATGTTCCTTGTAAAGGACAGCGAAGTAAACAGATGTTTTCTACTTTTAGCGTGGAACAAGACCGTGTAACTTGTATGGGCCTTGGTCATGGCGTGATATACGTTGGTTCTGCTAATGGCACTCTGCGTCAAGTTGCAATTAAAAGTGGACGTTTGACATTGGGTGACGATGCACTTACTGCCTGCACAAGTTCAATTATCAGTGATAGGTGAGTTTGAAGTGATTTTGTTTTGTTTTCCTAGATGTTTAATTTATCTTCTCGTTAATTGATCTGAATGTATTTGTTACAGTCTGCCAGGATTATAAGTACGATGGTCTGACCAACAGAGCTACCGGAGCATTGATTCCTTGTGATCTCACACATTCACTAAACCGTCATGTCTTTTCATGTCGTTATTTCTCCTTCACATTTATGCTAATGGTCCTTTAGAATCTCTCTTCTCTCGTTTATCTACATATGTGCTACGTGGAGTGTGAAAACTCGAAGTGCTGCACTTCTGTACAGAGTTCCACGGTGGAACGTAGTGAGGCAGTCTACCAGGACGCTTAGCTCCGTATAAAAAGTAATCACAAAGTAATTGTGTGTATGTATGTATGTGCTAAGATGTTGAGAGAATTTAGAACCCTTTTCTGACTGTTAGTGATGAGATTCTAAGGATTTAATATTACACTTTGTTCATGTCAACAGACTCCGGTGAACTGGTGTGCACTAGTTTACGAAGAAAAACAGAGTTGTTTGGGCGTGTTACTTGATTTGTGTCTTTACGACGGCAGTTATTGGAAGTTGTAGACTCTCGATGACGTCACTACAAAAGTGTCCTCATATGGCTGTTTACATTCGTTTTTATTTTTCGAATTGTAAATATTCTTCACTTAGTTATTGCCTCTTGCAGTTATATTGTAATTCTACTTTTGGTTTCCCTTTCGTGTGCTTCTATGGAATGTCGCAAGTCGATGAGTTGCGCGTCTGTGAAAAGTTATTTGTTGGTTTTTTAAATATTTGATAGTTTGTTGGCAGTTGTGTTCGTTGAGACACTCGAACATTTTAATTTGGTTAAATGAAATATTGTCGTAATCACTCCTTGTGACTTATAATACCCAATGAAACTATATTGTTCTTCGATATTACTATTCCTTTGTCATACACCTCTGTTTACTGTCTATTATGCATTTCTTCTACTTTCTTCTCTTGCTTTGTGTGCTACATGGAGAGAATGTAGCGACTTAAACTGGTACACATCGATGCAAAGTTCTGTGTCGAAAACACAGACGGGCAGTCGTAATCAATGGCTAACGTGCTGCAATTTCCACCTCTCTTCCCTTCCCGTTGATAGTTGACGAATACTGTTTGAACTTGTTAAGTATGACTGTTTCCCTTCCAGATGAAGTTCCTTATCCGTTCTCCACCTATATTTTTTACTTTTAATCTATGTTGTTTTATTATAATTGTGTGGCCAATCTCCTTGTCATATTGTACCAGGTTTCTCTGCATTTAAATAAATAAATAAATAAAAGTAGGTAGTTGCATTTTCATTAAGGTTTTACCGTAGACTTATCCTTGGAAACAAGACGGAAACTAATGTCTGGATGATATATATCTTTAACCAGCAGTTTTCGCGTAGTAGATTTTTAGCCATGTTCCGAAAATTACTATTTTGAATTTCTCTCGCTTTTACTTTTGTGTAAACTAGTTGTAAACGTTTTCATGGCCGCGTTAGTTGACGATCGTTTCTTTGTTTAATTTGGGACGATTTCAGAGTTTAAATTGTCAAAAATCATGTAGAGAGTTGTGCTTTATTAATTTCCAACTGTTTTCACGTTTTCCGTTCATGTAACACTTATGGTGGTGTTGTGGTAGATATGATATCCGGCTTTCAGTGATCAAACGATGTGCTTATTGTGCAGCAGTTCTCGCTGTCCTCCTATATGGCTGAGAGTCATTGAAAGTGGAGAATATGAGAACACTAGCCGTCTTTGGTCACAGGTGTCTGTATCCTCTCATTTGAGTAATATTATGGTTAGGCATAGTCCTAGGTAAAGAAGGCGAGATTATGTGCTACGCCTCTTTGGCCATCGCCTTCCTCTACAGGAAGTGTTAGTTAACATAGGATCTAGTAGTGGTCAGACCACGTCTTGGAGGTATAGGCCTCTTGATTTTCGGTCCTCTGTATTCTAAGAATCAGTTTCTTGAGACGGTTGGTGATATGGCTTAAAATCGTCGTCATTGGCGCAGATGCATTCACTGTTGGTGTTGGTTTCCAGTTTCCACTAACCCCTATGTTTCAGCTGATTTTGGTCCTTTTGAATCCCATTTTTTCTGCCTTTGCGTACTTCATGGAGTGTTACCAATTGAACTGGTGTACTTCTCTGCAAAGTTCTATGTTGAAATTTAGTCAGTTAGTCAGTGTGACCTACTTGTGTAGGTATGGATCCAGTTGATCATTCCTTCGGAAACTGCTACTAAAGTTGAACATACAGGTGTTATTACTAGTCCTCATATTATACGTGAGACTCAACTTATTACCTGTCTATACTATCCTCTAAACCCGGTTACTTGATCGAATTTTCAGTGTGTCAATTTGCTTTTTTATCTTCAGTGTTCCTGTAGACAAACGCGATCAATTGGGAGTGGATTCTCCCATCATTTCTCTCGAGTTACAACCTCAGGGTAATCATTTACTGATAGCCTACGCTGGGGGTTGTGTAGCAGTAGCCATACCTCAACCTATTCCTGCAGAACCTGCCAGTGAACAAGTCCCTTCTACTAGTGGAGTCACTGCGCCTACTGCTCAAAGTGAAGTGATCACACCAAATGCTGATGATGAGCTGGCTCCATCGCTTCCATCTGGTTCTAAAGAAGGTACACTGGAAAAAAAAGTTGAAGCACAAGAAGAAAAACCTCAATCTACTACTCTGAATGAAAGTGCACCTGGATCAACACCGTCTACTCCGGCTAAAGGGCATACAGAGAAACGAACAACACTGAAGTTCAAGGCGCTAACACGTAGTTTAAGACCTTCTGATTCATCTAAAGTTGAAGTGAGTTTATTTATCTGTACGAGTTGAATATATGATATCCTTGTTCTTTTTCTAAAGCGCTTTCCTCCTATCAGTTTAACATGGGTTAAGAAAAGCTTTGGAAAAGTCCCTTTAGTTCTTTATGATAGGATTTAAGTGCTCTGAAGCTTGAGAGAGTAATAATCTTTAAAACAGTTAGTTCTCTTTATGCATCTAGATAGACAAAGCAATAAAAACACGTAATTTGTCTGAATGGTGTAATGTGCATATTTTCGCAGCACATTTCGACCAATTTGATCACACACGGACTTGTCATAGGAATGTATATATGAAATTAATAAACAATTAAGAGGTGAGAAAATAGACTTAGGTCAAATTAAAAGGATATATTGTAGGTCAAAATAACAATGAAGACCACTAAACCAAATAACAGAGGTAATAGTACATCTGCTATGATATCGAAACAAATTTTACCAAGGAAGATGGTATAGTGTGATGACGAATTGTTGCTTTGAACGCATAAAGATGGTTTAAACTTTCTAATTGCTAGGGCTTCCACAAACTTTAGGATGCACCCGCCTCCGAACACGTTTAATAGATAGGTTTAAAGGTTTAACGTCAATTTTATGTCCTGTCTCTATAGTATTTTTGGCTAGGTCTCCTGTAATCGCCATTATAATAGGTTCTGAAGATTCTGTTTGTTTCTGAAGCCAGCCTTTACTTGCAGAGGTGGATGAGTCCTCCCTTCTATGTACGTGTGTCCACAGCTACATTCAAATTGGTAAATACAGTGGAATGTAACATCATTTTTCCTACGTTCAAACGGCTTAGATGGATGGATATATTGGCTTCATATTCTCAATTATTATGATATTATCTGCATAAAAAGCCTTCTTAACAGTAATAATTAAAAATAGCATAGTTGACAGTAAAGAATAAAATGGATGTGTGGAATAGCTTAGTCATCCTGTGCGATTGGTGTTTGCTCAACTTGTTTTATAATCTGTTATCTATCCTATATTGGTGTATAGAAAGCCATTTAACACTTTCTAATGGTTAACTTTCTAACCTCTAACTTTTCTGCGAAGAAAATTTAGGTTCACAAACCCAGAAAGCAAGTAGTACTTGTCACATAAGATGGTCTCCTCTCACTTAATACATAGTATAATCCTCAAATGCTGTTCACTCTAAGTGTGCCATTTGCTTAGCTGTAACAAATGTGCCCCCCTATACATCTAACACTTTCATAATTATGCGAACTCAGACAGTAGAATCGATGATTCGTCTATTTTAGGCATGCAAGGCTAATTCACTATGTGATCAATGTATCTGTCATCAGGACTGATTCGTTGTTTGTTCATTAAAATTTTTCTTTGGTGGATTACACTATCTTTCCTGAAGTTTGGACTTTTAACTTTTATTCATACTCTGATTCATACTGTCAACTCATAGTGAACAAAATTCATATGTCGACATTTGCACAAAGCGATTCTAGTCCGGCTCGGTGACAAGCATTAACTAGCTATTCAAATGTTGTGTAATTAACTAATTGATGTAGGCTTTCTTCTGCGTCGGTGGCACAACGGTTATGACGGTCGCCAACCATGCATATGGTCCGGGGTTCGATCCCCGGCCGACGCACACCCGATTTAAATGGTTGGCCTGCTAAATTTGGGCTACCGATATCACATACTGAAAATTGCATACTTGTATCAAAAATATACTGTGGAATCAAGCTGTAATAATAATAATAAATAAAGAAAAAAGAAATTCAAGGAAGATAATTCTGTGAAATGGGAAGGAATACACTTTATTGTTGTAGGCAAAATTATTATCTTCAGGATACAAAGGCCCGTGTGACATTTCTCAAGTTACTTTATCTCTGGCGTAGACGTGATATCCGGCTTTCATCGATCAAAAGACGTGTTTACTGCTCATCAGTTCGCTCCGCCCCCCGTCCTTTTATGACTGTGAGACATGGCCATTGAAAGTGGAAGATAGGAAGTGGTTGGCTATTTTTGATTACAGATATGTGCGTTCTATCTGCCGTGTTAAGTGGTATAATGCAGTGATTCATATTCAAATTAGGCGACGAGTGTTAGGTAAGAAAGGATAACCAGTAGATGAGGTTATGAAAGGGAATTGATGGAGAAGAGTAGGACATATGTTACGCATGACTAGTCATCGCCTTCCTCAAGGGGCAATGTTGCCTGACATAGGATCAGGTTGGAAAACAGCTAGTGGCGGAATCAATCACTCTATAAAGTCACTAACAGTTAGTTTGGGCTAGCCATGTAGGGTGGTGTACACTGCCCAGTTGTGATCCTTGAGATACTAAGAACCAATGGGTGGAGACAATTAGTAACATGGCGCAGAATCGTTCTTAATGGCTGTCACGGATGTATTCACTTTTTGTGATCTGGCATGGTCATTAGGCCGTGGTGTTTTTCCACACTAATAACATTCTTTTTCACTCATTTTTCTGCTTATTATCATCTTTTGGAATCCCTTTTTTGCTTTCTTTTGTCCGCCTTTGTGTAGTTCATAGAGTGTGGCAAGTTGAACGGGTGCACATCTGTCTGAAGTCCTATGTGGAAATCTGGTAGTTAGTCAGTTATTGGCCTCATAAGTAAACCTGGAGGATATATTGAAGACAGAAACTTCTATCAGGGCCTAGGTTGCACTTATGGACTAGGAGAGATAGTCCTGAAGTCAACAGAGAAGTATGCCTGTTTTATGCATCTAACTAACAGTTTTCTCCGGAGTTTTACTGTCTTTATACTTAACATTCATAACGAAGTTTATTTTAGAAAAAATGAGGAATGTTTTTGCACATTTTAAAGTTCTCAAATTTAAGTTATTTTGATTGTGTCATTACAATCTGCCTGTATTTTCCGTGCTAATCTTTTGTGTATGTAGAAAGAAGTTGATCCACCGCTGCCTGTCCCACCAGCACCACGTATTAGTCATTTACTGCTTCGTGATCAACCAGTGGAATGGGCTTCATGGCGTGTCACGTCTGTAGATTCATTGTCAACTGAAGTTGTTGTTGCCTATGGAGACGGAGCATTTCAAGTTTGGCCAATCGTTGCAGCTGTCAGTGAACAACCTATTGAACCAATTATTGTGTCAATGATAGATCCACCGAATACTCCGTATGGTAAGTTATTTTATCATCTTGCTAACTAGCTAACTAACTTTTTTGCTTAAGTCTCCATGCAAGCCTACCACTATTGTTTCATTCAATCCTTAAAGAAGGAGTGAATCGAATTCAAATGATGAAGTCATTTTGTGTATGACCAAAGCTCGAGAACAAACCAATCAAGAACCTATTGTTCAATATATATGTGCCGAAGAATACCGTGATGGATCGGACACACACGCGTGCCAGGCCATCGCTTGAGTGGAATCTGAGTGGTCATGGTGTCGGAGGTGATATGAAGCAGATCGTATAAAGAGAGAGAGTGAGAGCTTTTGAGGAATCGTGGAGCCAGCCAAAAGGGACTATAGTGTGAACCAGGTGAATGGATATATGCTGTTGAAGCCCTATGTTCTACCCGGAATAATAATAATAATAATAATAAGTGGTCATTGACAGGATTTAGACAATTCTCACTGATAACCAAGAATATCAGACTTTACTTTCTACCTTGGTGCCGTGAAGATATAGAAAACCCTTTATCACACTGTATTCATTCAATTTAATAATATTTATGGACAAATTTCAACTCGTACACTTTGATTTTTCTGTTTTCATAGGTCCTCTACCTTGTGGAGCAATAAAGAAAATACGCATTAATCCAGCTGTGAAGTAAGTGCGATGTAACTTTCATTCATGTTTTTGATTATTTGTCTGATTCACTAAGATAATGTTTCAATCTGTCATACAGCCTTTTAAGAAGACAAATAAAATGAGTGAAAGAGAATACTGACTAAAGTGACCCAAAGGTCAGCAAAGCCTTGTCTTATAAGTTTCCAGACCGTAGGTGTTACGAACTTCCTAGAATAATTTGAGCGCCAAGTCAGATTGACTCATTATAAATTATTGAAATTAATCCCAGTGTGTTTAAGAAAATCAAAACAAGTTCTGTTTTCTGAACTTTTTCGCTGTGTAAGCCACAGCTTCTTCAACAACTTTTGCTTTATGCTTTTCCGCTCACTATAATGCTTCTCAATCGTTTTTTTTTCTCTCTCTCTCTCTCTCTACCTTTGTGTATGCTATGTGATGTGTGGCAACTTGAACTGTTTCACTTTTGTGCAAAGTTCGGTGTTGAAGACTCAGTTAATCAGTCAGTCAGTCAGTCAGTCAGTCCAAATGTAGTAGTGTTTCGTAAAATGAAAGTGAAGTAGTTTCTAGTGGCTGGGATGGTCAGCGGACGTGGCTGGCCTCATAAACTGAAAGTTATAGGTCTTATCCTGAGTGGAGGGAGGGGCGTCATGGATATGGGCATTACTGCAGAGTCCCAAGCTAGGAGGATAAAACAACTGTCTAGGGCTACCTAGTTTCAATGAGTTTTTTTTTAACTTAATGCAAAGTGTGTACGCTCTTCAACCACACTCTCCCCCTAATCGTTTTAAACGTACAATTGTTGTAGTTGTACTATTTTATAGCTTTATTTGTTCTCACATTTTAGTACATTCGTCTACAGTTCTTAATTTTTTTTATTTATTTCATCTTTTATTTTTATTCTTCCAGTGGCAGTTTACTTACAGTATTCTGTGGTGGTCTACCACGACCTCAATTTGAGAATCGATATGCTGTGTCAGTTTTACAAGACCATGAACATCATGTTTGTTATCAGTTTGGATCTCGTGTTATTGATTTTATTCTTATACCAAGTGAAAAAGGAGACGACAGTGTTTCAAGTAAGACAAGACACGAGATATCATAACCTGCCTACTTTTATCTCATATGCTTGTGTGTTGGTTGATTGCCTTTTCAGTTTTACCAGTATAGATGTGGTGTGTATTCTCCTTATTACTATTGTCATTTTATGAACGACTCTGTTATATAAAGACACTTCCAAAGATTTTTATACAAATACTAGAATGCCATGGTTAGTTGCCATTGTTTGTTGGCATTTATTACCTCAGTGTATAGTCGAAACTTTAATCAGTTAAATTACACTACTTGTGTAAAATCTCTTGGAGACTCTCGACAGGGGATATCTTGTGTAGGTGTGGATAGTTTTGTGAGTTTACTCGAAATCATACATGATCTTAGCTTGTCTGACGTGTGTGTGTGTGTATGTATGTATGTGATAACAGTTAGTGTTGTCCGTCAGGGATGTCCACAGTCCCCATTTCTAATTCATTTCATCATAGATGTACTAATGAGATTTGATCTTAACTAACTCCAGGGACTTAGGGATTGAATTGTTACCCGGGGTATAGTCTTGTTAACTTCTAGTTTGCGGAGGATATAGTCATCCTATGTGAAAAAGCTGATAAGATATGAGGTTTTCTGAGCACTTTGAGCAGCAATCTTCAAATGTCTTGTGTTATAGGACTAGGCTACACTCTACTCCTATTTTAGAGATAGGAAGTGAAGTGTGTTGACCATTTCACTTATTTGGGAAGTTGCATCAACCCCAACCGACCAATTGCTGAAGAAATCAATGAACTGATAGTGAAGTCTCGTGGGGTATTATCCGGTTCTCTATCAAACATGTGTACTAAAGGTATGAAGATCTGAAAAAGTTAGCTGTATTTGGCCTTAGATGTTTGCATTCCATCTCCTTTGTTATTTGTTATAGTGGAGTGAGTAGTGTTAGGCGGAGAGGGGAAATCAATCGATAAGGTTATGAAGCTACATCGATTGAGATGGTTAGGACATGTGTTACGCAAGGCTGGTCATCGCCATCCACAACAAACAATGTTAGTCGACATAGGGTCAGGTGGGGGAAGAGCTTTTACAATTAGTGTGAGTCAGCCACGTAAGGAGGTGGAGGAAGCTTCTTGGTTGTGATCCTCAGGATTCAAAGAACCAATGACTGGAGACGATTGGCAATATGACTGAAAATCGTTAGGAGTGACTCAGATACATTCACGGTATCTTATCTCCCATGTTTGTTAAACCTTATGGTTTCTCCATGGTATTTCGTGTGGTATATGGAGTGTGGCAACTTTTTAATTGCAGCACTTTGTCCATGGTGAAATATAAGAGATTTGTAGCTTAGGTGAGTGATTTATGTTGCGGTTGCATTCTTTGATCTAGAAGGTCTAATTACGAAGCCTCTTTCATCGTTCTTTTTCTGGACAACATCTCTTCAGCGCATAACCTTCAATATGAAGTGTACACTTACCTGAATTCTTCATGAATGATGACATAATTGACAACAGCCAATCACAACAAAGTTGGTTGTCTTGGAGAGATACAATTACGTCGTCGTCATTCACTTAGAATTCAAATAATTTCGCACCTCATATTGTAGGCTATGCTCTGGAGCGATGTTGCCTACAAGAAGAAGGACAATGAAAGCTTAGCAATTAAACTGCCACGTGGCTCAGGGGACGCAAACATCTTAAAGTTGTGCATTGAAACTCGGTCAGTTTTTTAAGGTGTACGTGTTTTTCCACTTGTTTGGAATTAGGGTTTTTCCCCTATGCTGTTTAAGCGTACTATATTTAATTCAAGTTTGATGACGGATTGATATAAGTTAGAGAACCACTGGAAAATACAGCAAGGAGTGCTGGACAATCAGTTGTTTCCCTTCAGCTTGGGACTCATTGGTAGCACGCACCCACCAGGTCTCGAACCCAGGATCTTTCAGTTACAAGGTGAACTGCATAGACCATTCAGCCACTGGGGACCGGCTCAATGGTTAGCCCATGAAATCCAACATCTACTAATTCATGATTTTCAACGGTTCTCTAATTGACATCCATTCGTGATTAGTCTTGAAACACATCAAATGACTTTAAAAAATACTCATGAAAATTATGTGTTTTCCTCATTCTGTTCTTGTTATTATTCACTCTGTAAAATAGGTGAAGTCGCTCCAAGTGATTATGTCACCAAACCGTCGGCATCAAGTCATTCGGCTACACTACTTGTACTAACTGAACGTGAACTAGTTGCTATTGATCTTACACAACCGGATTGGCCTGCTTATGAATCACCGTATTTGAATTGTATTGATTTTTCACCAATCACTGCAGTTACTCATATTGGACAGGTTAGTTTTCATTTTCAGGATTTCTACTTCATGTTTATTTTTGTGAGGTTTACACGGTGTGTGTTGTTAGTGGAATGTTTTTCACTCGTTTAGAGTTCATTCTGCAAGTGGGAGAGTCAACACATTAACTAACAGCCTACTAAGTTATTGTTTATGAATATTGGAGGTACAGGGTTAGAGAGGTGGGGTGTTGTTGATTTGTGTGGTGGTAATGTAGAAGGGTCATGAAAAGTGGTAGGAAAGATAAGTTTTCTCTGTTTCACTACGCTGTATTGTTTTCTTTTGAAGAGAGTTAGAGTTTATTATATTATTATTGTTTCCTTTAATTCCCAGAGGAACATAGGGCTTCAGCCGCGCGTCTCCATCGCTTTCGGTTCTCTGCTAGAGTTTTCACCTGGCTCCAAGTCTGCCCACATGCTTTCACCTCCTCTTCACATGACCTCCTCCATGTCATCCTTAGACGACCAACTTGCCGCTTCCCTTTCGGGTTCTACTCGAGGGCTTGTCTAGTGATGTCACTTGGGGGTTTCCTCAGAGTATGGCTAACCCACCTCCATTTCTTCCTGCTTATTTGTTTCACAATCGGTCCCTGGTTGGTTCGCTCATTGCCAGAGATCCCTGTTGCTGATCTTTTCTGGCCAGCCATCTGATCTTGAGTATTGAGCGATGACCTCTAGCTGTTGATGAAGGTCTGTAGTTTGTTTGAGGTGCTCTTTATGACGCGCAGTGCAAGTCTCTGATCCGTATATTGAGTAGCACTGACTGACTTCACATTGGAGTTGAAAATCGGATCTTATTTTTCATGCTGAGTGGTGACTGTTGACCTCCACATAGACTTGAGAGTAATGAAAGCTTGTCTTGCTTTTCCGATTCTGGCTTTAATATCCTCGCTAGTTCCCCCTGTAGTTGTTGTAACGATGCTTCCCAGGTAGGCAGGTGAAGGAGGTTGTTTCTTTCAGGTTCCTCCCATTTATGCTGGCTGATTGTTGTCTGTTGTAGTTGCTGTTGCTGTTGGTCAGGAATCTTCATTGGCGAAGTCCTGATCCTCCAAGTTTTTTGTAGAACGAAATTAGTTCACCAGAATTCAACTGTAGGAAGTATCTTTGAAGCAAGTGGAGTATTCCCGACAGTGATGAGATCAAAAACTCTGTCAGCAGCAATCACCTGCCAATTCTCACAGACATTCCAAGCTAGTCGAAATGACCTGGATTCACGGAAACAAAATCACATCGTAGGAGAAACATAACATTCTCAATGTAAGGTTACAACCATAAAGAAAAGCACTAGAATGAGCGACTAAACAGGAACGAGGATAAATAAATTAGGATCAGATCAACTAATGATATGCAAATGTTAGGACAATGATGTACAGTTTAAGAGGAGAAGGGATAAAAGTGACAAAGTTATTTGACACGTGCAAATAGGTATCAAAATTGTAATTAGATCGTTCCAATTAATGATTCCATTACAGCTGGGTAGACTTAATTGTCTTTTCTGTCATATTGTGAATTCATAAGAGTAGGAAGGATTCCTCCCCGCCGCCCACCCCGGATATTTATCGATAAGGTTTCTTTAAAAATAAAATCTTATTTTATTTGTCTGCTTACTTTTCCAGGTCCCTGCAGCTTTAATACAACGTTTACATCAAGCGGCTCAAATCAATTCAGATGAAATTACGAATTGCCCTTGGCCAGTATGGGGTGGTAGTTCTCCAAGTGAACCGAAAAAAGATTTAGCCCAAAATGCTGGAAATGATGTTATTGCTTTAGGTCATGCTAATGGTTGGGTGACTCTATGGGCAATAGGCAGAGGTGATACTACAATCCACTTAGGGACACTACCAACGTCTTCTTTATTCAATTTAACGGATTTACAAAATGGTCAGGTAAGAATAACGCATTTATTGCATATAACAAGTAAAACTTACAGTGTGTGTTATATATATATTTGATTTTATTCGTTTACTTCCCCAGTGGGAGATAGAGGTCTTCAAGCTAGAGCTTTGAAGCTTCAGGAGAGTAGCAGTGTTTATTTTTATGGGATACGGTTGCTAGCCTCATGTCCAACCTTCCCTCTTTACAGGTTTTATCATCGGGTTAACGAGGTGAAGGGGTGCTACGTCGGCCGGGGATAGAACCCTGAACCACCTGCTGTGTGTGGGGTTGGCGAGCATTCTATCACACTAAGCCACCGAAGCACACAATGTGTATTGGCTGTTTCGAAAGAGATTTTGTAGTAGTGAAATAGTAGGAGACGGAAGACTTGATAAAGTACAAGACTCTTCAAACCTTTAGGAATTGACGTTGTACATAAACCAACAAAGTCACTTCACTCAATTCTATGTCAACCAAAAGACTCAACAGCGAAAGAAAATAAAACCAACATCATCCACAAAATAAACTGTAACAACTGCGAAAAACACTACATTGGTCAAAGTGGACGTCGTCTTCGTCTTTGTATCCACGAACATAATCTAGTCGTCAAAAGACATGATATACACTCCCTCCCTCATATCACTACATACAGACAACCACGGACATCAATTCGACTGGGACAACGTTCAAATATTAGACAAAGGAAATAACAAGAACGCTAGAGAATTTTTAGAAGCTTGGCATTCCAGTGAATCATCAATCAATAGACACATAAAGATAGACAAAATTTATCAACCGATAAGAAAGAAACCTTACCCACAAAGGGTCAAAGTTCAAGTCACAGAAACAATCAGTTCCAATACATTGCCTTAGTAGGTGACATCTTCAGCACATACTTCAATTTGAAGTGAGCTTTTAGATTTCTCCACAAGTTTACTAGTCACTTCCCCTGGTGACTTTGGGTGCGATTGGTTGTTTTTGTGTGTTTTGATACCCTTTAGGCTATTTATATTGGTACTGATTGTTTCCTTGACTTGAACTTTGACCTTTTATGTGTGAGATTTCCTTCTTATCGGTTGGTAAATTTTGTCTATCTCGATGTGTCGATTGATTGATTATTCACTGAAATACTAGGCGTATAAAAGTTCTCCAGCATTCTTGTTGTTTCTTCTAACATTGTCGCGGTTGAATTGACGTCCGTGGTTGTCTGTATGTAGTGATATGAGGGAGGGAGTGGATATCATGTCTTTTGACGGCTAGCTTATGTTAGTGGATGCGAAGACGAGAAGGGGACATCCACTTTGGTCGATGTGGTGTTTTTCGCAGTTGTTACAGTTTATTTTGTAGATGATGTTGGTTTTATCTTCTAGCCTAGAAGGTGTGAAAACCCACGAAAACAACCACTCACGTTCAAGTTGGTCACCAGGAGAGGTGACTAATAAACTCGTGGAGAAATCTAAAAGCTCACTTCAACAGATTGAAGTATGCTCTGAAGGAAGATGTCACCCAGTAGGGTGATGAAAGCTTCGCAAATTAACTATCCAGCCAGCTCAGAGAACACAACCACATCAAAATCATCCACCTGAGCTACAAATCTTCTCTATCATATCTAAAGGAATGTATATTTGGTAATTGGTATCTCTGTATAGCCAAAATGATTTATACACCTTATCTTCAACGCACTATTTACACATATGTTCGTTTTGTGGTACTTGTGGACTTCATGTTCTGTTTCTTTGTATTCCTTCCACGTCTCCAATGCATCTCCACAACTCTGTATCATTCGCCTTCTCTGAGATCAAATGTGTCTCCCTGCTATTTGATTTTTTTTTATACCGAAGAACGTCTCTGTATATACTACTGGTATATCTTATCAGTAGCAGTCGTCACAGTAGGTGGCCACAGGTCACTTAGGGAAATGATGCTAATAAATACATCCTACGAAAAAATCGATATCCATAAATCAATCTCAAGCTAAATCTGATAATGTTATCTTTCGTGAGGGATGTGATTACGGAGAATCTGCAGCTCTGACTAGTTCAATCTCTGAGAAAATTGGCGCCATAATTAGCTCCCAGGATAGATGACTGGAACGCTGGAGAGAACACTTCGAGGAGCAGTTTAATTGGCCTACAACCATGCTTAACCTACCGAACATCCAACACTTCCCTGAATGGGATATAGATACAGGTTCTCCGTCCTTAACTGAGGTTACTAGACCTGATCGAATGACTCTAGAGGTACAGGTGATGGATATTTTGAGGAAGACACTAAAAGTGTAACGACAGAAGACAAGGGCTAGGCAACAGATCGTTTATTGAGAAAATCAACAGTTGATATTTATAGAATTTTATGTACATTATTATTAGCGTTATTGTTAGCCGAGAAACAGCGCCTTCTGATTGGTTCTTTTCTCACTGACAGTTATTCTGTTATCTCTTTGTGGCCATTCCTCTGAAGGTCAGACGATGTATATGCGAATCGTATCCGCGCACGCAAAGTCTTTTTTCTTGTTTTTCTCATGACCAAGAATTGGCAAGTAAACATTGATGTATTAGATGGTTGGAGGCAATTGGCAGGAAGCCTTGCTTGACCTGGGTTTCTTGCTAGTTGGCACTCATCAGCAAGGCGTATCTGCAACCTTGAAGGAAGTCATGTCTCTTCTGAGATCCGAACCCGTGTCACCCAGTGCTGCAGTCAGAGACTCTACCACTGAGGTATTCGAGCTTCTATAGGACTGTAGTGGATATTTTGATTGGACACTAGTAACTAATGTGATGTGTCTAGTCCTAGAATGGTGGCCACATTAGAAATGTGACTGATAGAATTCAGTCTGCAGCGAAGAAACATTGATGTATATATGCTGTCTACCAATTTTGGCTAGCAGACAGCCCCCTCACCACAAAAGTAGCCATTGTCCACAGATATAACTCTAAACCAACAGAGAAAATCACATCTCCGTGATGAATGTGACGTTTATAGGTGATCTTCTGATTGGCACTCTAAAGAAGAGAATATCAAACGCTCCTGATGGAACATTTTTCACTTCTTTTTTTAATTGAATTTTAGATTTTTCCGTCGATTGATTGGACCGAAGTGCTCAGTCTCAGGTTGACATGTCGGTTTCTTGTTTAGATGCTTCGACAATGTCAGGGCATTTAATTAAAATTTAATTTGTGGATGGTGACTAGAAGTGGAATCCAGGATAATGCGCATTTCGTCCTATTCGAGACTTGTCAGCTGGATGTACCTGCATTCCCCAGTGAGTGATGATGTTCCCACTGAGGCTCGAACCCAAGGCCCATAGTTTCAAACGCCAAAGCGTTATCCACTAGATCACTTGGGCCACTGGACTCGAGCCTCGGTGGGAACATGATCACTCACTGGGAAATGCAGGTGCATCCAGCTGACGAGTCTCAAATAGGACGAAATGCGCGTTATCCTGGCCCCACTTCTAGTCACCATTCACAAATCAAATTTTCACTTCTATATTATGGTTTGCACTCTTTAGATTAACTGTCACATTTGACCACTTCTGTGTGTGTGTGTGTATCTACCAATTTACTTCCACCTGTGGAGCGAGATAGATACTATACGTCGTCCTCTTCATTTAGTGTTTTAGGGATGTGTCACATACACACCATTTCATTATTAAATTACAGTACTGATTTCGCTTCTATAAATCTTTACTTTCCCTTTTTAATTGTGTTGATTTATCCTTATTATTATTTTCACAGTTGTGGTGTTCAATATAACTCATATTGAAGGTGGCTTAAATTCTCTTTTATTTCATTTTCAGAAACTTGGAAATTCAGTTTTAGAAGAAGAAACATGGCCACCATTTCGACCAGTTGGTTATTGTTCACGAGCAGATCGTCAATCGCTTGAAAATCCTGATCCACGTTTAGCTGTTACCCAATTGCTTATTCTACTTGGTAGTCCTATACGTTCAGGTGTAACTGGTTCACTAGCCTCTGCACCAGATTCATTGACATTAATTGCTGGAGGTGCTGGTGGTCAAGTCAGTGTATGGGTTGCTGGTTCTGAAGGCTTTTTGCATACACCTGAACTGAATGCATTTGAACCAGATGTAGCCTGTGTACGTGTTAATCTTATCGATCAGGCAGAAGAAAATAAGTATATTTGGAAGGATACTTCAGCTCTTCAAGTAAGTGTGATATATTTGACGTTTAACGCTTAACGTGTAACATTTTTATTGTCTATGCGCGTGTTCATGCACAGCGTGAAGAATAATAATGGAGATATGTGTGGCTGGTTTACCTTTGAATCTATTTTCTTGGACTTCAAACTATGTATGTGTGTGCGTCGGTGGCACAGTGGTTAGGACTCTCGCCGACCATGCACATGGTCCGGGGTTCGAGCCCACGCCGGCGCACACCTGATATCTATGGTTGGCCTGCAAAATTTGGGCTACCGATATCCATGCTGAAAATTCCATACTTGTACCGAAAATACAGTGTGGAATCAAGCTGTAAATCAAAAATCAAAAAAAAAAAATCAAAAAAATGTAACATGTTGATATCTCATGACCCCTTACACAGCTTGGTTGCCGACCAGCTACAGAAAGCACTTAATCGGTAATTTATTATTTATTCTCTTGGCTTCCGATTGGAATACAGCACTTCCAAAGTACATCTTCATTTCATCATCTTCTCTGCAGTCTTCTTTAACTACTCCACAACTGCCTATGAACTTTGATATCCTTATTACACGATCTCCTCCATGTTACCCTCGAACCAACGTCCAACTGGTCGTTTTCCACCCGGATTCCATTGGAGGGTATCACTCGACGACCTCCTCAGGGTGTGTCCGATCTATCTCCATTTTCTTCGGAATATATTATCGAGCTGTAGGTTCTTGATTTGTTCGTTACCAGAGTAGTTTCTTGTTGCTAATTCTTTCTGGTTAACCATTTAGTCTTTATTTGGGGAGCCAGAGAAGACAGCTGTTGATAAAATTCTCCACTAGGCCTGTCGCCGGTAATGCATTCTGTGATGCGCAAAGTTTTGTGATCCGTATCATAAGAACCGACTGACTTTTCACTGGTGTTGCAAATCCGATGTTCATTCGTTGTCCTGATTTCATATTTTCACACTGATTTCAGAGTGATGCTGGTGCGTCTTTTCTCTCTGATTCTGATCGGTTTTGACATCCCCATCTGTGCTGCTCACCTATAGTTGAAACGATGGTATTTAGATAAGTGAAGGAAGTAACTTCTTCCATATCTACTCCGTTGATTGTGATTAGTGCTTGTTGTTGTTGTTGTCATTGTTCGAGTATATCTTGATTACCTCCGTTTTCTTTACGTTCACTTAAAGTCGTGTTTCTGTAGTCAGCCTCCTACTCCAGTTTGTTGGTTTTCGCCTGTAAGTCTTTGAGTTTTTGTGACATTAGACGCAAATCGTCCATGAAGTCCATATCTTCTAGAATCTTCTTATCGTCGCAACGTGTTCATGTCTTCTGGCTCCCCACAGTCCAGTTTATCGCCTACTTATCCGTGATAGTATTAAGCCTTGTCTTTCTCCTATCTTCACTTCAAAAGCTTCGCTGAGTTTCGTGTTGTGGACTATTTGGCATGTGCCATGTAAAGAGGGTAAATCAATAGACGAGGCTGTAAAGTTTCACTGATTGATATGGTTAAGACATGTGCTTCGTATGCCTGGTCATCGCCTTCCTCGACCGACGGGCAATGTTAGCTGACATAGGGTCAAACTGGAAAAGATCTAGCGGTGGTCAAACCGAAATATGGCCTCATCAGTCAATGAAATCCACAACAGTTAGTTTAAGTCACGTAGGAAGGTGTAGACTTCATGACTGGTTGGGGTCCTCGGGACAGTAGAAACGAATTATTGGAAACTATTGATGGTATGGCTTAAAATCTTTCTCAATGGATGGCTGGTGCAGATGCATCCACTCCTTGTGACTTATAATACCCAGTAAAACTATATTGTTCTTCGCTATTACTATTCCTTTTGTCTCATATCCCTATCTACTGTCTATATTTTGTATTTCTTCTGCTTTCTTCGCTTACGTTGTGTGCTACATGGGAGGAGTGTGGCGACCTGAACTGCCGCACATCGGTGCAAAGTCCTAAGTTGAAACCAGTCAGTCAGTGACGTGTGTCAATGTTAAATAGCTGTTGGATGAGGTGGGTGAAGATTTGAAGCACTACACAGTGTTAAACTAGTCTCCTGCCTGTCTGTCTGGATTCAACATAGAACTTGGTACCAAAGTGCAGCACTTCGAGTTGCCACCTTCCAAATAACACACAAAGGTAGACAAGAAGATGAGTGAAGAGAATCAATACAGTCTGACGAGTATAAGAGTGAAACAGAATGGGTAATGGTAGAAAGGAATATGAAAGATTACAGAGACTGAATACATCTGCGCTGGCCATTGACAACGATTTTGAGCCATGTCACCTATTGTCTCCAGCCATTGATTCTTAGAGTCAGTCCTGAGGGCCCCAACCCGGAAGTCTGCATCTCCCTATCTGACTCACTTTAACTGTCAAGGATTTCATGGATTTATGAGGCCATGTTTTTGTTTGGCCACCACTGGCTCTTTTCCAACCTGCACCTATATCAGCTAGCAATGCCCGTCGTCGGGGAGGCTATGGTTAGGCATGCGCAGCACGTCACCTAGCCATCTCAGTCTATGTAACTTTATAGCCTCGTCGATTGATTTTCCCTGTTTGCCTGCCCAACACTACGCCTAATGTCAACATTACTTACCTTGTTATACCACCTAACGTGAGACAGAGATCGCAGACATCTATGATCGAAAGCAGTCAACCTTTTCATGTCTTCAACTCGCATTGGCCATGTTTCAGAGCCATAGAGAAGGATGGAGCGAACTGGTGAGCAGTACACACGTTCCTTGGTTGGTAGCCAGCCGGATGTCACGCCTACGCCAGAGATGGTGTAAGTCAGCGAAAACAGCTCGAGCCTTTTGGATTCGTGCTGAGATTTCTTTGCCAACCAGTCCGTTGGTGCTGATACAACTTCTCAAATAGGTGAAGTGGTCAATATGTTCTATCATTTCACTCCCTATCCCTTAGCGAGGAGTTGACGTAGTTCAGTCCTGTAGCAGCAAGTAGTCTCCAAAATACTTAGCAGTCAATGCTTTCGAAGGCCTTTTCAAAGTCGATGAAATTGATGAGATAGAGGTCTTTGACTACCATTCTTTGCTGCATTTAGCAATTGGACCTCATTATTTATTATAGAGTTTTGCCTTAGTTGTTTACGTGTGTGTGCTACTGCTGCAGATTTGCTTTCAATAACAACTGCTCATTTCTAGCATTTCAAATAGCATAAAGAACATCTTACGCCATTTGAATTGTTATCGTTTTTGTTAGGTACACGATTCCTAACATGATGTTGTTATTTACTTCAAATGCTGAGAAGATTGTTGATCGGATGGTTTATTTAGCTAACGTTTCCGTAAACTAGTTAATTAGAATTCAATTACGTGGTATGGTATCAGGCCGAGCTGTGCGTCATACCTATTGTGTGAAGGCTAATGGACTACACGTTTTGCCTACTCTGGTTTTAGTAGTTGGTGAAGCGAGATTCGAACTTAGAGTGTAGGGTATTCGCTGAATGTCGAAAGCTTAAACTAGTAATTCGGTGAAGGGTTAGTTTATAGGGATTCGATTGGTGTTGTGTTTGACCACAGATTAATATCAGTTATGAAACTACTAAATTCCAAGGAGCTCTGGGCAGCTGTCTTATCCTAGTTCGAGACTCTTTAATTGTACTCACCCATGAACGCAGCATCTTTGGGTTATTAGGTCGCTCATCCGTTGACCCTTTAGCCAATAAGGCGGAATATAATGTCCGGTAGCCCATGAATTCCAATTTCTGCCAATTTGTGATTTGTATCGCCAGCCGATGCTATCGTTAGGTATTCGCTGTCTCCATATACGAATTAGTGGACCCCACTGGTCACACAAGGTGGTTACTCCGCAAAACTCCAAGTAACTTCCTCCAGTAGAGTCAGTCACCAATGAGGGATTTAATGTCAATCCGTGTTCAACCTTTAAACCAGTATGCCGACATTTACATAGTTCTTGAGCTGGGACCCCTACTGTTGCATGCACTTAATATTCTCTGCTCATAGCATTGAATATTCAACTTGTTTTGGCTTAACCTTTTGTATATTTCTTTCTACTGTATTTTTTGTATCTCATCAATCGTCTGTTTTTTTGTGTTTTCCCTAATTTCTAGCCTGTTGAAGGTGTTCCACACTATTGTACACCAACTGGTTTAACCTTCCATCCATGTTATCTTATCCAATTGAATCCACCGAGTCAAATTACATCACTTGCTGTAGAGCTGTCATGGAATTTATTAGCCATCGGCTCTTCTCACGGTTTAGCTGTAATCGATTTATTCAATCGTTCCATTGTTCATACTCATTTCACCTATGATCCATCAGGTCCTGCGAAGATTGTTAATCCTGTTGCAAGTAAGCCAGCTAAACGTGATTACAGATTCACTTATATATTTTCAAGATTTAGTTTGTAGGGACTTGATTTGTTTGAAGTTTGGTTACGGTTTGATAACAGTTAGACAACTACTAGAAATCAACAGAGGGTGGTGGACATTTGTTTCGTCCTAGTTTGAAGCTGTTCAGGAGTACCATCCACCAAGATTCGAACCTAGGACCTTCCAGGGACAAGACAATATCGTAAATCGTTCAGCGACTGACACCCCAATCCAGTGACCAGTCCATGAATTTCAACCTCTAGGAATTCGTGTTTTTAGTACGATTGGCACCAGTCATGTTATCTGTGGCGAGTATTTCTCCTCACACACCAATTTGTTCTCACTAGAACTTGAGGGACTTCATCCTGTAACCAGCCACTGGCAAATGTCAGATGAATTTTCAGGATTTCGTCTGTAGGGGTTTGGTTTATTTCAAGTTGGACCACGGATTGATATGAGAGTTAGAGAATCATTGAAAACCAGCGGGAAGTACTGGCTAGCTAATTTGTCCCAGTTTGGGACTCATCGATAGTACCCACCTACCGGGGTAAGATGTCGTAACCAGTGGGGTCCACTCGATCGGGTATGGGGACGAATACTCTCTGGGGCCATTGCATTGGCTGGTGGTTGCGCTAAATATCACGAATCGGCAGATGTTAAAATTCCTGGGCTGGTCATTTAATTGGGTCCCAATAGCTGAATGGTCTACGAAAGATCCTGGGTTCGAACCCTGGTGGCTGCGTTCTTACGATGAGTGCCAAACGAAGACGAAACGCTGCCCAGTAATCCCTTCTGATATGCAATGGCTCTTTGACTGATCTCAATCTGTGGTCAAACTTGAAGTCTATATGTGTATGTTGAATAATGAAGACTATTGAATAATAATTGACCTCTAGACTAATCAAATTTTTATATCTCAATTTTAAATAGCTGTACAAAATGTACTCATGGCTCGAGGAAAACAAATTACTACATCTATGAGACAATCATTCAGACGTTTAAAACATCTTCGAACTTCAATGACTACTCCGGAGAAGAGTTCAAGTGAACCTGCACCAGCTGAAGGGAAACAAGAATCTCAGCCAACAGATGAAAATGCTGAGGGAGCTGCTGCTCCATCTAAAGGTATGTGTATTGTTAACGTTTTATTTTCGTACTTCTTATTTTATCTCTGTGGGATTTGTAGAAATTAAGATTAATTTAATTTGAAAACCAGCAGGAATCTGTGTCGTCCTTTTGTTTTGGGGACTCTTCATCAGTCCGCACAGCCTACGGTTCCTGCCCGGATCGTGCTCCTGAAACTTTAGGCCACTAGACCAAGTTCGCTGATCATTCACAGAGCTACCTGGGCTACAATTCAATGATCTATGGATTCTGATTTTGTTTTTCCAATGATCTTTCTAACTATTTTCCCTTTGGTTTGATTCGTGACGTAATCTGACAATTGGAGCTAGTTGGTTTAGTCGGTTAGCATATATGTGTTTTGCGTTGAGGAATTCTCGAACACATCTGCGCTGGAGTGAATTGAATTTCCAACTTTTAGAACTTTTTGGAAATTTTCAAGCAATCCAAGTTAACCAAACTTCATAAAAGCACATATCCAGGTAGGGGAAAAATTAAAAGGAAGCAAAGAAATTTATGGACGGGTATGTGTACTGTTCGACTATCGACCAAAGGGCGGGTGTACTGCTCATCAGTCCGCTCCGTCCTCCTGTATGGTTGTGAGACCTGGCCACTGAGAGTGGAAGACATGAAAAGACTAGCTGTCTTTGATCATAGGTGCCTGCGTTCTATCTCCCGTGTGTGTGAAGTGGCATAATAAGGTGAGCAACATGGAGGTTAGGCGTAGAGTTCTAGGTAAACAGGGGAAATCAATCGACGAAGTCGTGAAGCTACAAAGACTGAGATGGTTAGGACATGTGTTACGTATGCCAAGCCATCGCCTCCCTCGACGAGCAATGTTAGCCGATATAGGGTCAGGCTGGAAAAAAGCTAGCGGTGGTCAAACAAAAACTTGGCATCAGTCAATGAAATCCACAACAGTTGGTCTAAGCCACGTAGAAAGGTGTAGACTTCCAGGCTGGGGTCCTCGGGACGGTAAAAATCTATGGTTGGAAACAATTGGTGACATGGCTCAAAATCGTTCTCAGTGGCGCAGATGCATCCACTCCCTGTGACTTATGATCTTCAATGAAACTGTTTTGTATTTCTTTATTACTCCTTTGTCTCACACCTCTGCTCACTGTTTCTATTATGCTTTTCTTGTACTTTCTTCTCTTGCTTCGCGTGCTACACGGAATGTGGCGACTTGAACTTCCGCACATTTGTGCAAAGTTCTATGTCGAAAACAGACAGACAGACTGGTGGTAAAGGTTATCACTTGGAAAATAATGAAAACTTACAAGAGCTGGCTTGTAGGGATTTGATTTGTTTCAACTTTAATTACCAGCTGACATCATTTAAAGATCCATGGGAAAACCAGCAGGGAATACTGTTTTTGGCAGCTGTTTTGTCCTAGTTTGGGACTCTTCAGTAGTACGCACCTGTGGCTGAAACCGAAGATCGGACCACAAGAAAGTCAGCTAAGAAGGTGAGCTAGTTAACGGTCCGACCATTGGGACCCGATCAAATCACCAACCTATGAATTCCAACCTCTACCAATTCGTGATTTTTGCACACCTGCCAAGCAGTGTCACCGGTGAGTACTCGTCCCCGCTTCCAACCGTGTGGACCCTACTGGTTACTTCTCGTCCCGGTAGGTAAGTGGCGCCGATGAGCCGCATACCAGGACGAAACAGCTGTGCAGTGCTCCCCGATGCTTATCAGTGACTGCTGTTACCTCCTGATCTTTTAGATCACTTAAGGTGATACTAAGTCATGTCACCAGAAGCCTATGACCATAGGCGTTTAGAGTTTCGAAGATCCCCGCCGGACGAACTGTCTGTCTGTCTGTTTTCGACATAGAACTTTGCACAAATGTGCGGAAGTTCAAGTCGTCACATTCCGTGTAGCACGCGAAGCAAGAGAAGAAAGTACAAGAAAAGCATAATAGAAACAGTGAGCAGAGGTGTGAGACAAAGGAGTAATAAAGAAATACAAAACAGTTTCATTGAAGATCATAAGTCACAGGGAGTGGATGCATCTGCGCCACTGAGAACGATTTTGAGCCATGTCACCAATTGTTTCCAACCATAGATTTTTACCGTCCCGAGGACCCCAGCCTGGAAGTCTACACCTTTCTACGTGGCTTAGACCAACTGTTGTGGATTTCATTGACTGATGCCAAGTTTTTGTTTGACCGCCGCTAGCTTTTTTCCAGCCTGACCCTATATCGGCTAACATTGCTCGTCGAGGGAGGCGATGGCTTGGCATACGTAACACATGTCCTAACCATCTCAGTCTTTGTAGCTTCACGACTTCGTCGATTGATTTCCCCGTTTACCTAGAACTCTACGCCTAACCTCCATGCCGGACGAACTAGCAGTCATAGTTTTGTAGATCCTATGGTTTAACCACCCGTAGGTGGTTTTTTGAACCCATGTCTGTGTCACCTCACATTGCTCACTATGGAATTCAACAATATGTGTCTTAGCCATGTGGAACTGTACAGCTTCATAACTTTATCGGTTGACTTCCTCCACTTAGTTAACAGTCTACAATGTGTGGTAATCAGAGATGGTCCCGTCTTACTGGTGTAAGTCATTGATTATCCCAGTATACATGAAGGGAGACACATCTTTCGGTGATGATCATAGAGGGGGATTAGTTTGAATAATATCGTATCTAAAGTCCTAGGCTCAGTAATAATTCGTGGATCGATTTGCCGTCGGGAGAAACAAACACTAGAGAACCAGGTAGGCTCTAGACCAGGAAGAGGGTGTATTGATCAAATCTTCACCCTTCGACAGATTCTGGGACGTAGGTAGGTATGTTACGTACTGGCGTCCAACAATTGTTTTATTTGTTGACCTGAAAGCGGCATTCAATTTGGTCTACCAAGAGGTATTATGGCGGTGTTTGGCAGTGAAGGAAGTGACGAGAAATTATATCTCGCCAATCAAGACACTTTACTTGAATTGACACAGTCGTGTTAGATCTTATGGGGAGTTGTTATCGGAAGTGATGGCAACCGGAGATACTCGTTAGGGATGTCGACTTTTTTGTTTAATTTCATCTAGATGTACTAATGGAATTGACCCTAGCTGACTTCCGCGACTTTGGGATTGACTTGTTACCAAGGTACAGTGTTTTTGACTTAGGTTATGCTGATGATATCGTCCTTCTGCATATTTGATCAGAAATCCTGATATATTCGGCGTGTGATTCGCTCCTTTCAAATGTAAGATGGTGCTGCAGAACTGGAACACATAGACTGCTAACCGACTTAACGAAGTGATAGAGCGTGTTGAGGACTTCACTTATTTGAGAAGTTGCATCAGTCCCACTGGACCGACAGATTGTTGACGAAATCCCAGTACGGATACAAAAGACTTATGTTGGTTGGCATTTGTCAACTGACGTTATCTCTGTTAAAGACGTGCTATCCCCACCTATCAGTATGAAGTAGTGACCTGTGTTTTGTGCATTATTCCTTTCTGTCCTTCTTTTATGACTGAGAGACGTAGAGATTACAGTGCCGAAGATATGAAGGACTAGCTATCTTTGATCAAAGTTTTCCGCTTTTTGTGTCTCCCCTGTTAGTTGGTATAATAGGGTGAGTTATGTGGAGATTAGGCGTGTCGAGTGTTGGGTAAGGGGGGTAAGTCAATTAATGATGTTATCGATTAAGGTGGCTATGGCATGTGCTATGTTTGTAGTTAGTTAGAGCCACGTGAAGTGGCATAGGTTTCTTGGCTGGGGGGTCTTCCGGCTGCTGAGAACCAATGACTTGAGACTATCGGAGATATGACTGAAAATCATTGTCATCAGGGGGGGGTGGGCAGATGCGTAAAGATAAGCTATATGTAGTCAGTTACATTCGTCTTAGTCGAAAAGGTGCTTAGCTCAAAGTAAACTTTATTTGTATTTTTTTTCTAGATGAAAGTGCGGCAAAGAGTCAGCCAGAGGAGACAACAGAGGAAAAGAAAGAAGCTCCAAAAGAAGCTGAAGCTCCAGCGACTGGAGATGAAGCAACCACATCTGAAGAACCTAAAGAACAAGCTCAGGAGGCAGCCGCTGATGATACTGTTGAGGTTGATGCCGCACCTGAACCTATACAACTTAGTCATGAAGATATTGCCTCATCAGCTGTCCGATGCCTTGTATTCGCTGATACATATATTATGACGGCGACGGCAGCAGCAGCGGCTCCCGGAGGCGATCGAACTCCTTCTCTTTGGATTGGTACTAGTTCAGGTAAAGCATTAGCCTTCAGTCTGTCTTGGAAAGGTAATGCTGGACCGGTTACAGTCGCCTTGTGCAAAGAATTACAATTGCATCATCATTCGCCTATTGTATTTTTGGATATAATTGATGCAGTGAATCATGGACCAATTATGCATAGTCAAGCCTACAGGTATATTAACATTTCATTCTGTGAATTCTTTTCATGTTTGTCCTGGTGCCCTCGCCCTTCTCTCTTTTATTATTAAGGAAGCACAAACTTGGTGCATATTATGCACACCAAAATCCGCACTACACCTAATCTCATAGTTTCTGTGATGCCTGGGACGTCCAGGTCAAAGCAAATGTCATCCTTCCTGCCTTGTTTCGAGTTGTTTATAGGTGCTCAGCATTGGGTGATTGTAATCGTTCTTCCTTTTGAGTTGAATCTTGCTGTTATATAATCTAGTAGGTGGAGATTGGTCCCCATTAAATTAGGGTTTTGGTTGCCACTGGTGACATTATGATGATAGCCACTCACTTCCTCAATGTGCTCGTGGCTATCGTCTAGTCAACCAGACCAGAAGTAGTGGATTACTGACTCTTCAATTGATAATTGGGCTAGTAGTCCACATCCATTCCATCTGCTCTTGCAGATACTTAACACTTCTATGCCATATTTTCGCATTTCTTTGGTTGCCTAGACACAGCCTTTCCATCTTTGTATATTGTAGAAAAATTTCACATTCCCATTGTTATTCTTGCTTTCATCGACTGGCTGACTAGTTTTCCGAAGGCCTTCACAAGCCCTCCCCCACGTGATCCTGTAACGACCGAAAATAATTAGTTGTGGTCTCAACTCAAGAGATCTATGTTTGCGTCCTATTGTGTATAGCTGACCGAAACTTCCTTGGGACGCTCATGGTCAGAAAATGCTTCAAAGACAGCGAAAAGACGATTATTCGTCGTAAGATCTATACGTGGTTCTGTTCAACAACAACAATAATAATAATAAGAACTGAAAATTACCTCAACAGCGCCCTCAGACAGCTAACTGTGCAGATCAGATTAGTTTTTTTTAGTACAAAGCAAGTGGGTGTATAACGAAATTAGTTAACGAACTTTCAACCATAAGAAGTACCTTGAAATCAAGTTGAATATTTCCAAACAGTGATGCAATCAAAACTCTACTAACAGCAAGAATCACACACCGACAATATCTAAAGAAGACACTCCAAGGTGGTTGTGATGACCTTGACCCCACTCAAACAAAATCACATTGTAAAACAACACATTACCAATGTATGACACAACCTGCAGAATAGTACTAACTGTCGTAGAGAAGCGAGATGAGGAAGGTGATGTGAGTAAAGGGGAATGATGCTCAGGAAGGTTTTGTGTGCTTTTGAAAGTGTGTGGGCGGTGTTTACTTCCCGACCGACCACACCGTGGAAGTTGATTGATTCTTCGGGTACCTGAAACAGTAAGAGAGTTAGTGTTGCGTGACCGCAGAGTCCAGGGGACAACTGCTTGAGGCCGGTCACACATGGCCTGTATGAACTAGCTTCTGAGATTGGTTCCGTATTAGTGTACTTACCGCCGGTTACGGATCATCGTAGGTGGGGTAAGTTGGTATGTACAATTTTTGGGGTCGAGCTTTTCTAACCACCTCTCTCCGGAGTGGAGAGACAGCATAGCTGGCTGGCATGCTGGTCATCTGAGGGAAACACCTCACTGTTTTTACACTCCTGTTCCCCAGCAGTACAACTTCGCCTTCAGACCCCCAGCATAATGTAAGAAAGATTCTTACACGATTCTTAGATTGCCGGTAACTGCTTTTAGTCTAATCGCTATGCTAACAACCTTCCTGGCATGGTAGGACCTGCAGGAACATTAGTTCCAGCCAGTGTAGCTTGTTGGGTCATCGCGCGCGATATGCTAGCCCGACCACCACGTCAAGGTAGCAGCTATCGGTCGGGATCGCACACCCACAAAGAGAAGTTATAAATGATTCAAATTAATCCCAGCGTGTTTAAGAAAAATCAAAACAAGATCTGTTTTCTGAACGTTTCGCTGTGTAAGAGCCATCACAGCTTCTTCAGCAGATTTATTTGGGTTTTTATTAATCATCAAAATATATCGTCAAAAATTGGAATCAGATCATCCAATAAGAATGAAAGTTTCAGTAGCTTTAAATCTCGTTAACACAGCTAGAAACGTTGCAACAGATATTGATGATGATATGGAGAACGAGATATCCAATATAAAACAGATTTTGATTGGAAATGGTTATCTGGAAAAGCTACTTGATAATATCATCAAATAGAAAGGAGCATAAAGGAAAACAAATAGTTGAAAAATCTCGGATATCGACGATAGTCATTCCATATCGAAAGGACACACATAGCTGAACAACTTCAAAGACTATTTACTTCATATATAATATTAAAGTTTATTTCAAGCCCTCTAATTCTCTACGGAAAGCTTTGGTTAAGGTCAAAGATATGGTTCGCAAAATGTCACAAAGTAATTGTGCCTATAGGATAAAGTGTTCAGAGTGTGAAGCATGCTATATAGAGGGGAGTGCAATAGGCAGGTGAAGGTCAGAGGGAATGAACATAGACTATGCACGAAACGTCCACCTAGAAATAAGGTAGAATTAAAAAGTCTAGAAAAAAGATTGGCTATAGCAATGCATGCTTTCAATGGACAGCAAACATAATATTGATTTCGAAAATGTTGAAATCCTAGGAAAAGGCTTTCATTCACCACATAACGAAAGATTGACCTCTGAAGCCGTGCACACTCTAACCCTAACCACATCGAATGCAGTGAATAGGAAGGAGAGAAGGGATAGACTTATCACCGCCTACATGGCAAACTCTAATGAAGCAAGACAGTTAAAAAACAAGGAAAATTATATGAACCTCCATGACCTTTTAAACGATGTATTATCATGTTTATCACATGTGAACTGACGTCTTTTCCATATGACAAATGACATACACTCGCACACACACACACACTTACGCAGACAAATATACATAATAACAATTTGACATTAGTCATTGTAACTATATATAATGACTGCTTGCATATTTCTATTGGTACAAATGCCTATGGACAAGTAACCCTCAAATAAACTGACTTAAATTTCTGTAAAAATATTTTGACTATATATTTTGATGATTAGTAAAAAACCTGAATATAAATCTGTTGAATGAAGAAGCTGTGTGATGGCTTTTACACAGCGAAACGTTCAGAAAACAGATTTTGTTTTGATTGTTTCCTAAACACTCTGAGATTAATTTAAATAATTTATAATCAATCAATCAATGTGGTTGGCGCTCAAATTATTCCAGGAAGTTCGTAACACCTACGGTCTGGAAACTTATAACACAAAGAGAAGTATTAGAATTAGAGACTAAACAGTAAGGGGGGGGGACAAATAATTATGATCAGATCAACTGATGATATGCAAATGTTAGAACAGTGATAATTTAAGGAAAGAACCCATGATAAAATAGCAGGTCATTTAATTCGTGGATGGTGACTAGCAGTGGAATCCAGGATGCGCATTTCGACCTATTTGGGACTCGTCTCCCAGCTGGATGTACCTGCATTTCCCAGTGAGTGAGTGATGATGTTCCCACCGAGGCTCGAACCCACTGATGACGAGTCCCAAATAGGACGAAATGCACATCCTGGATTCCATTGTTAGACATCATCCACGAATTAAATACTAACTAAATGTCCAGGCATCGTGGAAAGCATTTGCACAAGAAGCCAACATGTCAACCTGACACCGAGCACTTCGGTCCAATCAATCGATGGGAAAAACTAAAAAGTTCAATTAAATAGCAAGTTAGTTGGAAAATCCATATAAGTATGAATGTCAGCAAAAATGCCCATTGAGTCATGAAGAAAATAAACGACAGATTCAACGAAGAAAATTTTCTTTAGTGACGAAATTATCTCGTCAAACGCTGTATAGTCGTATTTATGCTTACAAAAATATATAGCGGTTTATTATTGAGTAATAGGGGGGGGGGTGGTGGTGACATAATTGATATAATTACTATGAAGTGGCTTTAGATGTGAAAATTAAAAGTTGTAAATAACGTGGTACTCAACGGCACAAAGATAGAAATGCTCCTTCTGTGCATTTTCTCACCCTCTTCACTCTTGTTAAATTGACACTCAACTACCAGCTTTGTTCTCACTTATGAGGAATTTTAACTTTATCAAATTTCTATCTTTGTGCCGTTGACTACCACGTAATTTACAACTTTTAATTTTCACTTCTAAAGTCACTTCTGAGTAATTATATCAATTACGTCACCCCCTATTACTCAATCATTTTTTTCTTTCCTTCACGTTTCCCAGTGGAACATAGGGCTTCAAGCTGATGGCTTTAAGTTTCTGTAGCAGTGTTTATTTTTGCAGGATGGGGTTGCTAGCCACCTCATGCCCAACCTTTCCTCTTTACCAGCATTATTACTAGCTTAGCGAGGTAAAGGAGTGCTTCGTCGGCCGGTTATCGAACCCCGGACCATGTGCATGGTTGGCGAGCGTCCTAACCACTATGCCACCGACGCTACTCAATCATAGACCACTATATATTTTTCTAAGTATAAATACGACTGTACAGCCTCTGAATATTGTATTTCGATCATTCAGGAGAGATTTTCCAAGACAGTTGTTCTGTTACAGATCGTTTGGCTTGAAGTCTTATCCGCAAGATAGGCGAACAGCATCAGAAGGCTGCGGTCCAATAATTCCGACGTTCATATGCCATTCGTTCTTTTTGGATTCTGAAACCTACACCGTAAGTGTAAAATCAGAGTTCTTTTTAGCTCCCCACCATTCCGGCCGGTAATAAGCCCCATACGTCCGTATTCGCTTTTTCTCTTTTGTAGGGGACAACTAGAGCGCTTGGAGGCAGTGAATCGAACTCTCTGTACGTCCCTCCTTGTCTCTCTCTAGTCTCAGTAGATATTTTTTAATATTCGTCGTATCCATGTGATTACTGAGTTACCATAGTTTCAGTGCCTTTTAACTTTTTATTTTCAAAATTTTGTTTTTTTGAAGGAATTCTTGCATCGAATCAGATGAAGGCGGTGAGAAAACGGAACCTGCACAACAAACGTCAGAAACGCCTTCTGAAGCTCAGACGGAAACAGTTAAAGACAGCACTGACACCAGTGCACCAGCTACGGTAACAACCACAACACCAGCACCAACACAAGATATACATCAATTACTTTTATGCTCTGAGGAACAAGCGAAACTGTTCAGTCTGCCATCATTACGTGCTGTCTATAAACACAAATTTATTGATCGTCTTCGTATGCTTGGTATGTCAATGTCATCGGGTGCCGGTGGAACACCTAAGGCAGCACCGCCACCAGCAGCAACTGGAGCTGGAACTGATAAGGAAGCAAACGAAGAAGTGGATACTTCACTTGCTGTTGCAGATAGTGAGGCAAGTACTGTATTCTTCTTCTTCTTCAACTTTTGATATGCCGCTAGCTCTTTTCCAGTCTGACCCTATGTCAGCTAACATTGCCCGTCGGTCGAGGAAGGGGATGGTTAGACATGCATACATAACCCATGTCCCGACCATCTCAGTCGGTGTAATTTCACAGCCTCGTCGATTGATTTCCCCTCCTTACCTAGCACTCCACCGAGGCCTAAGCTCAATATTGCTCACCTTATTATGCCACTTCACACGGGAGATAGAACGCAGGCACCTATCATCAAAGACAGCTAATCTTTTCATGTTTTCCACTTTCAGTGGCCGGGTCTCACAGCCGGCCATAAAGGAGGACAGAGCGGACTGATGAGCAGTACACCCGCCCTTTGGTCGATAGCCACCCGGATATCACGTCTACTAAGCCAGAGACGGCGTAAACTGACATATTGTTCGGATGGTACAGGATCGAAGAGTTACGTACAGCTCGTTTAATAATGCTTGTATATTTACTTTCTGTCATCAGTATTATGTGAAGTATGTGGATTCATCAGTATTCCGTGCCAACGTCAGTACTCTGAGACTCTATATATTATTATTCTTAAGATGCAAACTTGGCACCAAGAAATGCACCACATAAAAGTGTTATAGTTTTTGGGACATCTAGGATACTTTCCGGACCTCCGCACCCAAGCTGGTGGTTGTCTTAAAGAGCCACCGCCGCATCAGGCTTTGACTTGAGGTTTGATCCTGTGACACAGTGCTGCGGTGGAGCGGTGTCTGGAGCTAAATGTCATGAGGCCATTCAATTGATGTTGAGATTCTAGTGTCCATGTACACCGAAGGAGGTTGAGAATCAAGGTTTTCAAGCTCCCCCCTCCCGCTTAGTCACACCAGTATGTCCAGCAATCCGTTGTAGGCGCCAGACATTCGTATCCTTCTTGTTACTTTTGTGAGGAACACCCCAGCCGGTGCGTGAGTAGGACTTCATTAGCAGTGGCTATGGATCCATAACTACTTAGGAGCATCTCGAAAGAAAAACCTGCGCTCAGCCTCACCAAGTCATTTATGTGGGGTCAAGGCATTATTCATTAGGCTTGAGACTCTATGTATGCTCACTTGTTAATGTACGTGAACTGATTTCTGTGATACACACAGAAGTAGCGTAAATATTGGAAAAATGAGCGCCTGCACAGGTTTTATGTAGATTAGCATCTAGATAAGAATACTTCAGGATACATAGACTTCGCGGCTGATTTATGTCTAATGTCACAGAATATTGAAGACTTACAGGCGAAAACCAACAAACCGGGAGAGGAGGCTGGCTACCAACTTCAGGTGAAGGTAAAGAAAACGCAGGTACTGGAGATACGCAAATAATTACTATCAACGCAATAAGTTTGAAAGAAGTCACTTCCTTCTCCTATCTAGGTGCCATGGTTTCAACTACAAGTGAACAGCACAGATGGGAATGTCAGAACCAGTCAGAATCGGGGAGGAAACATGAACTTTCATCACTGTGAAACCAGTGTGAAAATATGATGAATTCAGCACAGAGAATGAAAAGTGTTTTTTTAACACCGATGTGAAGTCAGCCACCGTTTCTGTGTAGGTGAGAAACTTGGCGGGCGAATCATCGAGAGCATTACCAACAAGCTGCTGCAGGCTTCGCTTGCGCCTTACTGAAGATCGGGAGGCTGGTCAGAAAGGATTAGAAACGAGGACCTCTGGCAGACCACGAGTTAATCAAGTACCATTTCTTCAAGAAATATTCCTATGGAAATGGAGATAGATTGGAGCTATGCTGAGAACACCAGTAGGTGACACCGCGCTCCGGACCATTGCTCGAGTGGAACCTGAATGGAAAACCATGTCTAGTTGAGTGCCAGTTCAAGTGTGGAATGGAGGGGATCGTATGAGGAGGAGATGGGAGACTATAGGCAGTTATGGGGGCACCTAAAGAATACTGCTGTTAAAGTCCTATGCCCCACTTGGAACCCAAAGGACTATCTACTGGCGGCCTGCTTAAATCATTGGGCTACCGAAATTACTTTCCTCCAAAATGCTTAATTTCATCTGGATTTATCGTTGTTTTAATCTTGCAGTTATATCAAATGACCTATACATAAACTTGCGCGGTGATTTAACTTTCTCCCAAGTAAACGCTGTACAAGTCATCAAATGAAGATATACTTCAGATTATTACTTTACATGTGAATCCTGTGTGAAGAAAAAAGTACCTTTGGAACTGAATATGCTGAAAATTTTTGTACCGTATACTAGCATACTGTCTTAAATAAAGCTTTACCATTATTATTATTATTAAAAATAATAATGATAAAAATCTAGATACAAGTTTAATTATGCATTAACCTGTCTATCGAGCTATAGGAGAGTGAATTACGGATTCATTCTTATTACTTGTGGATGGTTTTTTGTTCACTAACATCTCTTACGGCTTCTTTGTTTACAAATAAAGTAACCGATCAAGAGGGGTATACCTGAGAAGTTTGTTAACATCCTGAGAGCTCTATAGAGATACACCTCAGGTAAAGTTAGGGCATACAACCAACTATCACCACTGTTCCCAACCAACAGTGGGATTAGACAGGATTGCCCGATCTCTCCATTTCTCTTTAACTCTCCCATCGAAGACATTCTGAAGTCATCTCTGAAGGACGTATGTGAAGGTGGTGTAGATCCTCTCCTTGGAGACAGGCTTTCCAACCTCGAATATGCAGATGACGTTGTCTTATTGTGCGATAAACATGTGGGCTACCCGAATGGCACTTGGTCATTTGGCGATTAATGTTTGTAAGTATGGTATGTGCTTTGCACCGTCTAAGTACAAACTTCTGTTACACGACTGGCTGGAGCCTGTACCTGCACTCACCTTTGCAGGTAAACCTCTTGGTGTTGTCGATAAGGGTATCTGGGTAGTTGTTTGAGTGCTGGTGGGAAGGCGACAGACGAGATTTCCAACCGCATCATGAAAGCTAGGGTGGCCACCTCTGGCACCATCAGGACATTAGCCTGGCTGTGAATGGTTGAGTTTACAAGTCTTCATGGCACACTGTCTTGCTCTACGCTTGTGTAACCTGTCCTCTCGGAGCTGATAATGTGTGGCGAATAATGTGGCGTATTCGATCACCGCTGCCTCCGTAGAACTGCTTGCGTCTGATAGCATCATTGTGTGAGTAATTGTGAGGTTCGTTAGAATGTCTTAAGCACGGCAGAGATCACCACTTATTGAGTGTTGTCATCTGGAAACACCAGATTCAGTGTGCTGCACACGCCATCCGAATGCCATCATATAGGCTTCCGTACCGACGTCTCTGTCTCTAGCCATCTGGGACTGGATGGAAGAAGCGGTGAGATGATCGGTCTCTAATGACGTGTCGTCGTGGGATGAAGGATATTTGTAGTTAGGTTAGCATCAGTCGATGCGTCACGATTCCGTCCTTGGTAGGGGTCCGAGAGGTAGCTCAAAGCATCATTGCATATGACCAGGAATCGCAATCATCAGTGACCCACTGCTGCAATTTCCCTGTTTCTTCCCTTTCTGACAATATACCGGCAAATGTTGTTTGGTGTTGTTAACTATGACTGCTTCCTTTCCGGAAGAAGTCCATATTCATTTTCCACTTATTTTTTCATATGTAACTATTTTATTATTGTCCTCTTGGTGGTGCCTATACTCTACCAGGTTTTTGTGTTTTAAATCAATAAAATCAAATAGACATAATTTTTGCTTTCCTAAATCAATAATTTCATTTTTCATTCACTCATACATTTCTACTTTTGTTGTTTTTGATATTCTTTCCTTGTGGTGATGATAATGAGTAGGTTGCCTATGTGAATGCTAGTCAAGTGAATCGAAAACGTGTCACTGGGTTTGGTTTACAAAGCTTCGCCTCTGGAACTGGTGAAAGTGCTAAGTTGGAGTGGAATGCTGTAGCAACCCTACTGGACGGACAAATCGCTATACTGTCTCTTCCAAGTCTTCGTAAAGTATTTAAAGGTGAGTAAGAAATTTTGATTTTAAACCTGATTAAAGCTGCTGTGGGGGGCTCCATTGTGGTGTAGGCTTTCGGCTTCCCATCAATGGGTATTTCAGGTTTCAATCTTGTACCACTTTCCAAGAGTTGAATAGGCACTCAGGTAGTGTACATTATCCCCGCATTTGGGTTCCTGTTAATTGCTACTATTGATTTTGTTAGTTGGTAATGCTGATTACCAAGTTGTTAACTCATACAGGAGAACCGACTTTACAGTGATGTTGAAAATTTTTTAGGTGTCCTCTGCCAACTTGTCGGTTTTCGTCTGAAGATTTTTGAGCTTGTGTGATTTCAGACATAAGTCGTCCGCAAAGTCCAAAGAGTTTTTTTATCGGTCCAACGTATTCCTGTTTTCCCACTGTCTCTGTGGTCTTTCGTATGATCCATTCCACCACAATTAGGAATATCGTCGGTGATAATAGACACCCAGCCAACCTGGTCTCACTTCACCTCAAAGGCTTCGTTGAGTTTTCCATTGTCGATCACTTAACATCTGGTATTATCATATAGGTGTTGAAGTATGCTAGCAAAGACTTCCGGTGTTGTGTAGTGCCGTTTTTGACTGCTCGTGAGCAGTGGTCTTCTTGATTCTGCTGTCATGCAATACACTAATGCTACCCTTCTGTTTCTTGATACCCCAAGAAGAAACCAACTCCCATGGTTGTGGACAGCTGGATAATCATAAGCTGACATCAGTTAGAGGACCACTGGAAAATCTGGGAGTATCGGATGGCTGTTTCGTCTGAGTTTAGGGCTCTTCAGCACCACTCACCCCACTGGGGTTCGAAGCCAGATCCTTCTGGTAAGTGGTAATGATGAAGAGTCCCAAATTAGGACGCAACAGCTGTCCAGTACTTTCAGGTTTTTAGTGTTTCTCTTACCATTGGTCAGCTCATGATGAAATCCTGTAACCAATCAATCAAATCCCTATAAACCAATACTAGAATAGTAATAGTGACAATAGCTTTATTCTGAAACGATGTGTATATAATGTACAGAATTTTCAGTGGTGTTTATCGCATGGTATTTACCCTTCGTCCAGGATCTTTAAATAAAAAAAAGATTAATTGACAGTAGGTTGTGTGACATAGTTCTATCGCAACTGAAGAGCAAACTAATCCATCTTCTTCGAGAAGTATTTGACATTTTGTTGGATGCCGGTTATAAAAAATTCAGGAGTACATTTTAATGAAGACACAAACCAGGAACGGTTATCTCATGTATGGGGATAAGTTGTCATCGAGGATAATACTTTTTCCAAAGTTAAGTAGCAATTTGTAAATCAATCAGCAGATTGTAAACTTTTTAACCACTTGCCATAGTTAATAATACTTTTGAAGGGATCATCGGCAGTACGCACCCACTACCAGGGTTCGAACCCAGGACCTTCCGGTTATAAGGCAACTTCGTATACCATTCAGCCACTGGGACCCGATACAATGGCTCATGAATTCTAACGTCTACCAATTCGTGATTTAGCGCCACTCTAACCCTTGCCGTTGGTGGGATATCCATTCACACACATGACATCTAATTGAGCCTTACTGGTCACGACTTCTCACTAGAACTGACTCCAGGAAACTATCCTGTAGCAAGTCAGTCACTAGCGAGCATCAGATTAACTTTCTATAGTTTTGGTTTGTGAGGATTAGTTATGTTTTACGAGTTGATCACGGATTGATATCAGTTAGAGAACCATTGAAAACCAGGGAGTACTGGACAGCTGTTTCATCCCACTAGTTTATGAATCATCGGCAGTACGCACCCACTGCCAGGATTCAAAAACCCAGGACCTATCGGTTACAAGGCAAGCTGGATCGTATACCATTCAGCCACTGGGACCCGATTCAGTGGCTCGTGAATTCGAACTCCTACCAATTCGTGATTTAGCGCGACCCCAACGATTGTCGTTGGTGGGACATCCATCCACACACATGACATCCAATTGGACCTCACTGGTCACGACTTCTCACTAGAACTCAGGAAACTCCAACCTGTAGCAAGTCACTAGCGAGCATCAGATTAATTTTCTATAGTTTGGTTTGTGACTTGCTACAGGATGGAGTTTCCTGGAGTCAGTTCTAGTAAGAAGTCGTGACCAGTGAGGTTCAGTTAGGTGTCACGTGTGTGGATGGATGTCCCACGAACAACAATGATTGGGGTCGCGCTAAATCACGAACTGGTAGAAGTCAGAATTCATGAGGTGGCCAGTGAATCGGGTCCCAGTGGCTGAATGGTATACGATCCAGCTTGCCTTGTAACCGATAGGTCCTGGGTTTTTGAATCCTGGCAGTGGGTGCGTACTGCCGATGATTCATAAACTAGTGGGATGAAACAGCTGTCCAGTACTCCCTGGTTTTCAATGGTTCTCGAACTGATATGAATCCGTGATCAACTCGTAAAAACTTTTGGAGGTCATTATTTTACTGGATTTAAAAGAATCCAATAAGAGAAACCATCTTATATCATGAAATCAATGTACACCGGGATGGTGAGCTACCTAGAATGGTGGCTACATTGTAAACCTAACTGACTGACTGATAGAATTCAGTCTACACCGAGTAAAGGATTAGACACATCACACTAGTTACTGGTGTCCAATCAGAGAAACCATATGCAATATATTGATGGAGGTTTCTTTCGGTAGCCAAAGTTTTAAACATGCCACGAAACTGTCCTGATCCAGTGATATTCAGGCGTGAGGGGTGTGTGGTAGGTGAAGCGCGATTCGGATTCATAGTACACATAAATGCCTACTAGTTTTTAGGCGCTACTATTGAAAACATATGATATTTTTGCAACGTTTCACACAGTTTATTTCACTACTGACTTTTTATGATCTCATCTCACATTGCATAGATACTTGATTAATTGTCTTTTACATTTCCCTTTTTCAGAACGATGTTTCCCAGGTTATGTGAATTCAGCATTACCATGTGTTGCAACGCGTACATTTAATACACATGTCTTTTGGTCTATTGGTTCTCATCTCTTGGTATCTGAACTCACACCTCTGCCTACCTTGAATTCACTTGCTGTACCCATCAGCGATGTTATTTCAGAGGATTTTGTAGCTATCCACCTACCTGAATGGTGTAGACCAAAGAAAGAAGTTCCAGCTGAAAACGAAGAAACCAAAGCCTCGAGTAGTCAAGCGGGTACAGTGGAAGGGACTCAGCAGGTAATTGTCTTATGCATTGGATTCCTGTTCTGTTAATATTAATGTGAATTATCATCTAATGCTGAGGTAACTTGGTGGATGATGATTAGCAGAGGAATCCGGAAGGCGCATTTTTCCTATTCCGAAACTCGTCATCGGTATGTGCCTGTTCGCCTCCTCCCAGTGAGTGAATGATAATGTTCTCACTGAGGCTCGAACTCAGTGCCCGTGGTTTCAAACGCCCAAATGTTTCCCACTAGACCACTATCCACGAATTCACTTCAAGTTAGTTAAATAACTGGACATCGTGGAAGCATCTGCACAACAAGGGGCCGGCGTGTCAGTCTGAGACTGAGCACTTCGGTCCTCGGGACGGTAAAAACAATTGGTGACATGGCTCAAAATCGTTCTCAGTGGTGCAGATGCATCCACTCCCTGTGACTTATGATTTTCAATTAAACTTTGTTGTTCTTCGTTACTACTATTCCTTTGTCTCACACCTCTGTTTACTGTCTCTATTATTCATTTCTTGTACTTTCTTCTCTTGTTTTGTGTGCTACAAGGAGGGAGTGTAGCGACTTGAACTTCCGCACATCAGTGCAAAGTTCTATGTCGAAAACAGACAGACAGACAGACTTCGGTCCAGGCAATCAATAAGAAAGTTCAAATTGAATTAAATTATCACTCAGTGTTGTTGCAATGCCAACATTTTCCAACTTATACGTTTTCTTTGGCGTAGATGTGATTCGCCGAGTCATCATCGATTAGAGGACGTGTGTACTGCATACCAGTTCGCTCCATCCTCCTTTATGACTGTGAGACATGGCTGTCGAAAGTGGAAGATGTCAAAACGTTAGCTGACCTTAGGGACAGGTGTTTGTGTTCGATCTCTCGTGTTATGTGGCTTTGTAGGGCGAGCAATATTGGAACTAGGTCTAGATTTAAAGCTGGTTTAGCGGGGTGTGTGAGTCGATCAAGAAAACTAGGACATGCTGTAGCGACCAACACCGACGTGTTGCGGTCTGAACGCACAAAACCAAATGTCGCATTTTGCTGTATAGCTAACTAAAACTTCCTGGAGTGACGCACAGTCCCAAAATGTCACGATGATAACGCGAGAACAAAGACAAACAATAAGTGAAGTCCGTCCAGTCGAGAGTGAGGATGCAGTTCCCACCGATTACTTTGGTTGGTGGTCGCGCTAAAATCACGAATTGGTAGAGGTTGAAATTCATGGGGTGGTCATTGAATTGTGTCCCAGTGGCTGGTCGGGATACAAGCTTGCCTTGTAACCAAAAGGTCCTGGGTTCGAGCCCTGACAGTGGGCGCATACTGCCGATGATTCCCAAACTAGGCTAACAAAATAGCTGTCCGGTACTCCCTGTTTCTCAATGGTTCTCTAACTGGTATTGATTCGTGGTCAAATTCGAAATACAATCCTATTCGTACAAATCTACTCTTAAAAACAAATAAAATAATGCTTACAGGATTTCATCCCCGGTGGAGGCTTACTGATGAAGAGTCCCATACTAGGACGAAACAGATGTCCAGTACTCCTTGCAGGTTTTTCAATGGTTCCCCAGCCAAAGTCAGCTCATGATGTGTTATGTACTAGTTTTCCCCGTCGCCAAATTGTTATGTACTCGTCGCTGAATTATTGTTATGGACTGGTCGAGAAACTAATAGTCCTGACGCGAGAAGGCGGAAATCAGAAGACCACTAGGTTTGCGATGATACTTCTATTGTCCAAACACAAGGAGACGAAAATAAATGGTCTCACACCAAAGTGATAAGTAAGTAAAGTAAAGTAGTTCACACAAATTGTGAATGCGAATATATATAAATAATTCAGACAAGCGTGGGAAAATCATTAGACAGTCTTAACATGAATGGCTAATTATAATGGAGTGTCGATCCAATTATACATAGCGAATATAGCAGACATGTCAACAACCATATATGGATATATGTCACCAAGCAACGGACTGTCAACAAACACCCATATTATATATAATATAATATAAGGAGAATACACATTATTAAAGGAGACAAGTTCACACAAGTGAAGTGGTCACAGACTAACCGAGCAAACAGAAAGAGAGACCAACATGCACACACACACATATATATATATATGTGGATACATATCATGATGCAATCCTGTCAGCAATCAATCAAAATCCCTACACACCAATACTTAAAACGAAATAATAAGTCATTAAGGCATATGTATACTGCCTTAGAGAAAAAAGGATGATAATAATAATTACATGGTTAATTGAAATATCCAAGTAGGAGTCAGTAATGTAAATTAGATTGTTTAGAAGGGATATTCTTAAAATAGTTATTTCGTTACATTTGTACGTGTTGCGCATGCTGAGCTATCGTCTTCTTTGATTGACTGACTGACTGGTTTCAACATAGAACTTTGCACTGATGTGCGGAAGTTCAAGTCGCCACTTTCTCCCTCCATGTAGCACACAAAGCAAGAGAAGAAAGTGAAAAGAAATGCAAAACAGAGACAGTAAACAGAGGTGTGTGTGCGTCGGTGGCTCAGTGGTTAGGACTCTCGCCGACCATGCACATGGTCCGGGGTTCGAGCCCACGCCGGCGCACACCTGATATCTATGGTCGGCCTGCAAAATTTGGGCTACCGATATCCATGCTGAAAATTCCATACTTGTACCAAAAATACAATGTGGAATCAAGCTGTAAATCAAAAGAAAAATTAAAAATTAACGAAGAACAACAAAGTTTCATTGGAAATCATAAGTCACAGGGAGTGGATGCATCTGCACCATTGAGAACGATTTTGAGCCATGTCACCAATTGTTTCCAGCCTTCATTGGTATTTACCGTCCCGAGGACCCCAACCAGTCAGGATGTTTACACCTTCCCACATGCCTTAAACTAACTGTTGTGTATTTCACTGACTGATGAAGTCATGTTTTGGTTTGACCTTCCTTCACATGCACTGCTAGTCTGTATTGCATGAGATTGGAAAATGTGTTTGAGGTCATCGAACCATAACCTGACGTGGCCCAATCCATAAAATCTTCGACGGTTAGTTTAATCCAGTCAGTTACGTAACGTAGGGAAGTGTAGGACTGCTTGGTTGGATTTCTTGCTGAGATCCAAAGAACCGATGACTGCGGGCCATTTTCATTGTTGTCTTCCTTGTGTACTCCATTGAGTGTGGCACCTCGAAGTGTTACACTTCTGTTCAGAGGTCTCTGTTGTAACTCAATCTGAGCCAGTTAGTCAAGTTAGTCACTTTTCTAATTTTTATTCCAGGATTCTGGAGATGTTGCTGCAGTGAGTGAAACAACACCAGCGGTGAATGGAGCTACACCTGTTGTTGAAGAAGAAATTGTCCCCAGTAGTAAGAAGATGACGGATACACAGTTGGAGAATGGTCAAAATGTTGGAGATGTCACACTGGATTCTATTAAAGAATACTTAAATGGGTAAGTTGGAAGTAGTATATGTCAACTATTCCATATTTCTATGTATGGAAATCGGTCCTAGTGCCGCCCACACTAGTAGTGAGTGAGTAGTGACCGACTGACTACAGGATGAGGTTGTCTGAAGTTTCTAGTGAAAAGTTGTGACCTCTTGGATCCACCAGTTTGGACGTGAGGACAATTACTCACCGAAGAAGTCATTGGTTGATAGTCACGCTAGTTGTCGTGAATTGGCAAACGTTAGGATTCATGGAATGTGGCCATTGGATTCCGTCCCAATGGCCCTTAATGGTCACCGAGTTCGTCTTATAAGCTGAATGTAAGTCTGAGTTCGATCTCTAACCACGGTATCCTTGAGCGGTAGTCATACCACCGAACAGTTCGTTCAACTTATCATTACGGATGATCAACTGCAAATGACGAGGAATGATACAGGTCTTCTTATTGTCAGGAGTAGCAGTACCAGTCGATTCAAGCACTTTGGTGGCCATGATAGTAAAAAGTACCGACGCGTTCACCGTAGGTTACTTCGCAACAAATGATGCATACGAATAAACTGGGAGTTGAAAACCAACGTGTGTAGATTGGGTTTTAGCCTTTGCGTGAGAATTTGCACCTTTCCGCGACCACTCATGGTTGTTTACTTTAAAGCAGAGAAACGTGTACCGATGGATGATGTGAAGAAAGTCCTTGAAGCACCCAGGTCTAGCGTTCTGCAGGCCACTATCAGGCATTCAAGGTGGTAAGACAGCCTTTGTGTTTCATTGATACTGGGTCGAGACACGGATGGATAGACAAGAGGAGGAAGCACCACTTGAACCGCAGGGTCAGACAATACAGGATGATTAGGGGGGGTGGTAATCTATTCGGGTAGCCAGAATTTTTCGAAATCATAGTCGTGGGTTGCTTTCATATGGCTATGGCAGTCGTACGTGTCCAACCTTTCAGGAACAGTTTTATCTAAAGCTCCCAAGACTTGAAATATTAAGACTGAACTTCTGACCTGACGCACTTTTCGATTACTACGTTACATTAACGTCGTTTTATAAAACTCTTATTTCTGTGGAGTTTCTTGCCAAAAAAATTGTGGAACTTACTGTAATTATTTGCCTTTCGAATACTGAATCTGTGGATATAATCTTGTTTGACAGACAGTACCTATAATTATCTGTTTGTGCTTGTCTAACACTAACTAATATCTATAATTGTATATATTGATGGATTTACGTGTTCAAGTTGGCTCAAGTCAGCGAGTCCTATAATTTTGGTATCATTTCAGTTAACTGTGCTTAACTGTATTGTATGTTGTTGTATTGTATTGTTGTTGTCGCTTTTTGCCCTTTTTGCTGTGAATTATTTTTCCTTTGTTGGTGTTCTTCTAATTGTTTTATTCCTTGTTTTCCTGGTCTTAAAAGAGCAACCCACAAGGTCGCTTCTCTCTAAACTATATCTTAATGTAACAATCCCTTTCTCAGGCGTGAGGCTAGCAACCCATTCTGTAAACAAAGTTGCAACAGAAACTTCAGCACGATGGAATCTCTTTGCACTAAGAGAAAAAGTTTGTGTGGGGACATGGAACGTCCACACCATGTACGAGATTGGTAAAGCTGCCCAGATCGCCAACGAGACGAAAAGATACGGAATCCAAGTGCTGGGAATATGTGAAAGCAGATGGAAAGGGAATGGGCTCATCAAATTGTCAACGGGGTGAGTTAGTGATCTACTCTCCCGTCAACCAGAAGATAACCACACACACACTGAGGGCGTGGCTGTCATGATGTCGCCAACGGCATCGAAGGCGCTGATGCAATGGGAGGCGATCTTGCCCCAGATAATGACCGCCAGATTCAACTCCAAGGGAAGGAAAGTGTCAATTATACAATGTTATGCACCCACAAATAACGCAGACCTCGAAAAGAAAGAAGAATTCTACAGACAACTGCAGGCAACAATGGACAACACTCCAGCTAATGACATTAAAATACTAATGGGAGACATGAACGCCAAACTGGGACCAGACAACACAGGAAGGGAACTCATCATGGGTAGAAAGAAGCTCTTGGAGAAATGAATGAAAATTGAGAACTCTTCGCTAACTTCTGCTCCTTCAACGAACTAGTGATTGGTGGCAGCGTATACAAACACAAGCACCCAGAAGATAACCACACGCACACAACGAGGTCGTGGCTATCATGATGTCATCAACGTAACGAAGGCCCTGATGCTGAATTGGGAAGCGAGGAAACCATCAAGTGAGTGACATCATTAGACAAGCCATTGCTCGAGTGGAACTCTATCGAATGGGAACCGGTGAGTTGGTCGTCAATGCGAGGATGACTTGGAGGAGGTCATGTGAAGAGGAGATGAAAGCGTGTAGGCAGACTTGGAACGGGGTGAAAACGTGGCAGGAAACCGAACGCAATGGAGACTTGGGCAGCTGAAGCCCTATGTTCCTCTAGGAATTAAAGGAAATAATAATAATCTAACCTGCTGTAAACATCTCTTCCCTATTGTTTTTTCTTTACTGTTTACAGATCTGAAGGAACAATGGTAGTGAAGACAACTGAAGTGTCAATGGAAAAGCGGACTGTTGTAGAAGGCGGGAAAATTACAACTACTGTGCATGAAGTGGAGACAGTCGATGGTAAAGTGACAAAGAATGATGTTGTTAAAGTTGTCACTGATGGGGAACAACCAGAAGTGATGAGTATTACAGGTTAGTTAGTGTATATCACTGGAATAATAATGCGTGTCTTGTCTTTCTTGACAGATCTGAGCTCTGTGAATAATGCTCAGGTATAAATTCTCTGGTGGATATAAAGTCCCCCGGCCGACGCACACCTGATATCTATGGTCGGCCTGCAAAATTTGGGCTACCGATATCACATGCTGAAAATTCCATACCCGTACCAAAAAATACGGTGTGGAATCAAGCTGTAATCAAAAAAAGTCTAGTTGTCTGTTATATAGAGGAAGTAGGAATTACAGTGTACAGGGTTGTCCTTGATTTTCTGTAGTGTTTTGTGTTGAAATTGTAACTCTTTATTTAGTATCTGACCCGACCAGCTGGTTTTGCAAGCTTAGTACATACTCGATGATAACACTGGTTGGTAGTTTCTCAGAAGTTCGAATTCATGAATTACCCATTAGATTCCATCTAATGGGTTTTCATAGTTCACAAAATCGCCTTGTAATGTAAAGGAAGGTGGTGGGTTCAATCCTTGGGTACATACACTTCCAAAGAGTCAACTCTCCAGTACTCCTTGGATCTCTTAGTGAAAATTGTTTTTGGTAGAACACTTGCATATATGCTGCTGCATTGAAGTTTCTAGTATGATGAATTGTAAAATTCTCTTGGAGACAAATTGAGGCAGTCAATAGAAAGTTGTTAACCCCCCCCCCCTATGATATTTGAAACTTCACGTAAGATTATTGTAATATGAAAAATGTATTAGGATGACACTGGACCTGTAAGCTCACTCAAGAACACAAGCTCTGTAGACTAAAGGGACCTTGTATATTTAATTATGCAAAATAGTGTGATTTACAGAATGCCTTGCAGTGACTGTTGTGTGTATGTGGTCACACCAGTAGAGATCTTAGTAGGAGTCAGGTTATCGGAATGTAGGAATTCGACTGACATACTGCGTTTCTAACTAAGAACTTTTCAGAGAGAGATGCATCACTTCAAGTTTTCACACTCCATGTAGCACACAAAGGCACAGATAGGAGAGAGAGTGAAGGTATTCAAAATCACCATAATAACCAGAAAGAAAGAGGTTTCAATTCATAAGGGACATCATAAAGAGGGAACGACGATTTTGAACCACACCACGAATGATTTCTTCCTAGCACATTGCAATCATTTTGACTAGGCTTTCTGTTCCTCCTTCCTACGTGGGTCAAATCAACTGTCATCGACTAACTGAACTGAGATACCAGGTTTTGATTTAATCCACCCCCTCCCTACGTCTTTTACCCACTTGAATTATGGCAACTTCAAAATGGGACCTCAGGAATATGAATAGCTTGTGAAAGTCAAACCTTCATCAGACAATGAGTGTTCGTAGACGACTTCAAAGGGTAGGTCATATGCGGCTCAACGATCCATTGAAGAATGTGTGGAAGACTTAGTCATCCTATGGTTATGCTTGCTTTTCATCAGTCAGACCAGGTCACAATGTCCAGCTGTGCGTTTCTGGAGAACATGCCTGCAACCTCCATCATAATGTGTGTTGTTGATCGCGAAATTCTCAGTTCCGATTAATGTTGTAGTACAAATACGACTGTACAACTTGAAAAGAAGTACTTCCGCGTCCTGTTTTGAGACGCTTCATTAGAGTGCACCCACCACTCCCATCACTGGGTACCAATTCCACGACCTTCAAGTTACTTGATCAAGCTCATTAATCATTCACCTAGGTGGGTGGGTGGGCATTTAGTGACCTGTGAATTCTGACTTTGTCAATTCGTGATAAAGAGCTACCGTCAACCTTTTACCTTGACATGGCGGTGGAACCACTAGTCAAGACTTCTCACTACAGACGACTTCGGACATCAATTCAGCTGGCATCAATGAGCCGGCGATCAACATCCAAATCCATGAATTATTAAAGCTAGAACTAGATTCCAGTCCAAGTGACTGTGAATGGTTTCGATCCCTGGTGCTCACTGATGAAGGGTGTCAAACTAGGGCGGAACAGGTGTTCAGTGATCATTCTAACTGATTCAGCTAATAGTGATTCCTGGTGGTACGAAAATCTTCACAAATCCTATAATTTGTCTATCAATTACCAGCTCATTTATTGGTCACACTGGGTTGGTGTCCTTAAACCGTCTCTAGTGAGAATTCGTAACCACTGGGGAGGTGGGTATGTTCATTAAGGCAATTGTTAAGGATATCATTATATATCACTATTATTGACGAAGTATAAATCCGTGCGTCGTCATAATAATTCCTCGTTGAATAAGACACTGTGTCATTTTCCTTATTGGGCATACATTTGGTGATTTCTAATTTTTCGTTTATTTGATTGGATACTTTTTTCTTCAACTTTTTAGGCACTGCTTAATTCTGACCGAATGTGTACTTGTTCTCTTGTACCACCATGGGTGTGTAATCGTCTTCAATTGTTTGTCGGAGAATGGATAATCAATCAACCGATGACTTTACTCTCTCCCTCTGTGCTTAGGATGATTTTATGTCAATGTTGTTGTGTTTTGTAATTCTGTCAGCTTTTCTTCTCTACATCCTTCTTCCTCCTCAATCACACCGCCGCTGCCACTGCCAAACCGACGCCTTCCTTCTCTTGTCTCTTTTGTTGTGTTTGTGCTTGTCTGTCAGGTTGTCCCAACAAACACGAGATACTGTTGTTGTTGTTGTCGTCGTTTTTTTCTTGTTGAATAAAATCCTCATATTCACTTTTTGCCTGGCTTACTAAAAATAACTTCATTATATATATATATTACTTATTTCTAGTCGGTAGGAGTAGTATATATCTCACACAGACACCGGTGTTCGTCACGCTTGCTCCATATATACACTATACATATATATACATAATTAATCTTCCTTTTATCTTTCGTGTGTGCCTTTCTTTTTGAAGCTGACAAAGTGGATAGCCTCTATCTGTTCAACATCATTTCATTTTATTTATTTATTTATTTTATTTTAATATATGATGTCATTTTACATACACACTAATATGATAATCTCGTCATTTTTATTGTTGTATTGTGGGGTGGTGTTGGTGCTGGTGCTGGTGGTGATCTGATTGATCTCTTACATGATCTCACTGTCACTGTCTGTTTTAACACTTATTTTCTTTTTTTCTTTTTACCTCCTTCCGTCCAATTTTATTTTGATCATATTTGCTTAAAAATAAGGAAAAATGTACGCGTGTAGTCATTTTAAGAAAAAAAAACATTTTCCAGTGGAATTCCTTTAATATTCCTTGTCACATTTTATGCCTTTGTCTCCCTCTCTCTTGGGCACTGTTTTTTTTTCAAAATCCTGTTTGTATGTATGTGGGCGTGTGTGCGTCGGTGGGTGGCCTGTTTCCAGTCCTTCGATAGAGATCTGAAGTTACCTTGTCCAGGACTCAGTTAACACACGTACTCTCATTCATGCCTAGACTGCAATAGTGGATTTAATGTCAAAATGCGTGGGCGGATGTACTCACACACACACACACTCACAGTTTAATTCTTTTATTGAGCATCCTCGTCAATATCACTCTATAATAATCATAATAATAATAATATTCATATACACATATATGTACGGCGTTCCCGGTTTTCACATCCTTCCTGCCTCCTCTATTTATTATTAGTGTTATTTTTTCATTGCGCAATAATATTGTTTTGTATGTGTGTGCGTGCGTGGGCTTTATCGTGCTTCAACCAATGCTTGTTTGTGTATATCTGTCTCTCTATATATATATGTGTGTGTTACATTTTGTGTTGATTTTTCCTGTTTTTATCAGCCTCTTATATGATATATGTGCTGCAGATCATGTCATGAATTATTTGATCTCAATCACATCGGCTCCCCCTTCCTCCACCCCGCCCACACACATGCACAAAAGAAGTGTGATCCCAAAAGAATGCATACCACTACTACTACCTACTCACCGACTACTTTATTGATTACCTTTCAAGACGGTCTCTCTCTCTCTCTCTCTCTCTCTCTCTCTCTATATATATATATATATATATACGAATGCTTTTGTGCGTGCCAAACGTTCTCTCGTTATTTTGTGTGAGGTGCCCTCTCTCGCTTAAACGTATGCCTTTTTTTCTATCCTGTCCTCTTCTATTCTCCATTGAATTTCATTTAATCCGTCTGAGTTTGAGGTGTACTCCAATCGATGTCTCTCTCCATTTATAATAATAATAATAATTATTATTATTGATATTATTAATAATAATATTACTCTATTGCTACTACTATTACTGCTACGATATTAACTCTGTGTATTACGTGAATAAATATTTAATTGTGTCATACAAACATACTTACCTTTTTTTGAATGTGTTATTGTTTAGTTGCTCCCTGGTTTCCAGTTAGTTACCTGATGGTGGAATGACTCTAGAGGTTTTTATGAATTGATCACGGATTGATATCAGTTAGAGAACCCTTGAAAACCAGCACCGGAGTACTGGACAGCTGCTGTTTCATCCTTGTTTGGGAATCATTGGAAGTACGCATCCACTGTACTGTGGTTCCAACCCTGAACCTTCCGGTTACACAAGGCAAGCTGGCTCGTATACCATTCAGCCACTGGGTCCCGATTCATTGGCTCATGAATTCTACCACCAACGACAGTGGTTGGAGTCGCGCTAAATCATGAATTGGTAGAAATTAGAATTCATGGGGTGGCCATTGGATGGGGTCCCAGTGGCTGATTGGTATACGAGCCAGCTTGCCTTGTGTAACCGGAAGGTCCTGGGTTGGAACCACAGTGCAGTGGGTGCGTACTTCCGATGATTCCCAAACTAGGATGAAACAGCAGCTGCCCAGTACTCCGGTGCTGGTTTTCAATGGTTCTCTAACTGATATCAATCGGTGATCAACTCGTAAAAACATAACTAAACCTCACAAACCAAACTATAGAAAAAAGACTCCAGAGGTGTTTAGGGACAGTGGAGACAGTTTACTATCTGCGTTAACTACGGTATTAGGCAGTGTTTGGCTATTAGAGATAGCCCTGTCGAGTTGGTGTAAATCATTGATTATCCCCGATATGCAAGAAGGGATGTAAGTCTTCCTGTGATAATCACAGGGAGATTAGCTTGACTAATATTCTATCTAAAGTTCTAGGCTCAGTAATCATGCGGAGACTATAAGTGGTGCTCGGAAGGAAAAAAAACACGAAAAGATCAAGCAGGCTTAAGATCAGAAACAGGATTTACTGATCATATTTTCATCCTTCGACAGATTCTGGAACACAGGCATACTCTCCGGCGTCCAACAATCGTTATATTTTGTTACAGGATTTCATCATGAGCCGACATTAGTTAGAGAACTATTGGGAATCCTGGGAGTACTGGGCAACTGTTTCGTCGGTCTGATTTGGGACTCCTCAGCAATACGCACCCACCGCCAGGTGTCGAACTCAGAATTTTCTGGTTACAAGGCGAGCTAGCTCGTATACCATTAAGCCACTGGGACCAGATCCAATGGCACAGGAAGTCTAACTTCTGCCAATTCACGACTAATGTCAGCTCATGATGAAATCCTGTAACCAATGAAATCCCTACAAGCCAACTTTTGAAAATCTTTTTATTGCTTGACCTGAAGGTGACATTCGATTCTGTCGTCCGAGATGTACTTTGACAATGTTTAGCTGTGAAAGTAATGCCGGGGAAATACATTTCACTGATTAAGGCGCTCTACTCTAACCAGGTGGGAGTCTATGGAGAGTTGTCATCTGAACTCGTGACAACTAGTGGTGTCTATCAGGGATGCCTACTGTCCCCATTTCTATTTAATTTCATCATAAATGTACTAAATGAGTCTGTGGTACAGCGGTTAGGACCCTCGCCAACTATGCACACGTTCTGGGGTTCGAACCTCGACCACCGACGCACTCCTTTACCTCGCTAAGCCAGTAATAAGACTGGTAAAGAGGAAAGGTTGGTTATGTATGAGGATAGCAACTCCATCCTGTAAAAATAAACGCCACTGCTGCTGAAGCTTCAAGCCTCTAGCTTGAAGGTGCCCTATATTCCGCTGGGAATGTAAAGGAATAATAGAAATGGATATACTAATGGACTTAACCGTAACTGACTTCAGCGACTCAGGGATTGACTTGTTACCAGTTGATGATCTCGTTGACGTAGAATATGCAGATGATATAGTCTTTATCTAAGTGAAGACGCTGAAAAAAATCAGAGTCTTATGTGAACACCGTAAAGAGCAGCAATCTTCAAATTTTTCGCATGCAATTTTATGCTGTCAAATGTAAGATGATTGTACAGAACTGGACTGAATCACATTGACTCCTAGCTTAAAGATGGGCAGTTGTGAGATGGTATATAGTGTGCACACGGAGAAGATCGTGTGTGCATGTGTGTATGTGTGCGGAGGAGATGACAGCCTATGGGCTATCTATCATGTAGCCGGCTAAATAGGACTGTAGGCAATCTCAGAAAGTGTACATGTCCTATTGAAGTATCATATTCCACTTGGAACCTAAGGGAATAATAATAGTAATAATATAGTCGAGTTGTTTCTTTCTACGGTTTGAAAAAAGACGGTTGCAGTTAAGAAAATTTTCTTTTTAACGAAGTCACCGTCAACTAGATACCTATACATTCGTGTATTTATAACCAGCGGGTGGGAAAATTCCAGAATAATTTCCCGTCAAGGTCAAATGAATAAAAATAACAATTAGGAATTAAAATGCCATAATAAACAGGGAGAGGGGACGGATAGAACTCAAACAAAGTAGCATCATAATTACTGAGAATATTGACACTGATTGTGCAATTAGGGATTAAATATGTAGAAATAATAAAATGACTAAATAGACAGGAATTTCGGATATGAAAATGTGTTAGTGTAAACAGGGACTAAGCAAAACTTAAAAAATAACATGAATAAACAGGAAGTTTGAATAAGAAAGGCAATGGGATGGTCATTACTAAAAGAATTACCTGTTTATGATGGCCATGGCAGAGACAAGGGTTAGACGTGTTTCTTTTGGATACAAAGCGTGGGTTTAAGTTTTTGCTTGGCTAGTGCATCGACCATGCCAAGATTTCTAAATTTTGCTCTCTTTGATAGGTTTGGTCTAATCTTGTATAGTATTTTAAAGGATTTTTCGAATAGCGCTGAATGTCGTGAATTGGATAGATGATCCCACTAGATTTTTTTTTATACAAACATCCTATCTGTTTTTCTTATTTATGCACGCTCCGTCCTTGTCTATTGCTCTGAAACATGGCCAATACGCGTTGAAGACATGAAAAGGTTGACTGCTTTCGATCATAGATGTCTGCGATCTCTGTCTCACGTTAGGTGGTGGTATGATAAGGTAAGTAATGTTGACGTTAGGCGTAGAGTGTT